GCTTTTATCTGTGTATGTGGTACTGAGGATTTCATGTGTATTAGGCAAGCACTCTACTACTAAGCCATATTACATTGCCAGCCTTGATCTGTGTAATTTTCAGTTGTAGGTCGTGGGGCCTGAACTCTGGGTTTGGGTGCTGTCCCGCAGCTCTTCAGCTCAAGGCTAGCGCTCTACCACTTGAGCCACAGCGCCACTTCCGGCTTTTTTTCTTTTTGCTTATGTGGTGCTGGTGAATCTAACCCAGGGCCTCATGCATGCAAGGCAAGTGCTCTAGCACTGAGCCGCCTTCCCAGCCCTTGTAGGATCTTTTAGTTATAAGGTCTTTTGTATTTCTGTTTCATAGACTAGTATATTCTCTTTATTTGGTCATCTGTCTTCTATAGTTTAGCTGCTTTTCTGTCAGTGTAGCATCTAAAACCCATTTTTTTTCTTTCTTTTTTTTTTTTTTTTTTGTTGTTAGTAGTGGGGCTTGAACTCAGGGTCTGGGCACTGTCCCTGAGCTTGTTTTGCTCAAGGCTAGTACTATACCACTAAGCCACATTCCCAGCCCTTCCAGTGTTTCTTAATAATTGGAACTGTTTGTACCAGCTCTTATACCTTCTTCCTTCCTGTTTTTCCTTTCTTTTCTTTTTTCTTTTTTTTTGGCCAGTCCTGGGGCTTGAACTCAGGGCCTGGGCACTGTCACTGAGCTTCTTTTGCTCCAGGCTAGTGCTCTACCACTTGAGCCATAACACCACTTCATTTTTTCTGTGTGGTACTAAGAAATTGAACCCAGGGCTTCATGCATGCTAGGCAAGCACTCTACCACTAAGCCACATTCCCAGCCCCAAGCCTTTTTTTTTTTTACTGTGTAATTCTAGTTTTCTCTGTGTGTGTGCATGTGTGCACGCTTAGATCATTATTTCATTCTTCTTACTACTTTGGACTTGTTCTAGTTTGTTGAAGTTAAACTTTTTATTGTTTATATCTGCTTCATTTGTGATGCTGAGGATGGAATTTAGGGTTTTATGTACTCAAGGCAAGTGTTCAACCACTAAGCTATATCTCTCTTCTTTTTTTGTTTTTCATGTAGACTTTTGTTGCTGTAAACTTCCTTAGAATTACCTTCACTGCAAACCATAAGTTTTCATTTCCATTTTTATTTGTCTCAAGCTGTGTTTCAATTTTAGGTTATGTTTTGACAGCACGTGTTCAGAAGAATATTGCTTAATTTACCCTGCTTTTGTTTTTGGTGTATTTGAGGCTTGTCTCAAATTCTTCAGTCTTCTTGCTGTGGCCTCCTAAGTATAAGATACTGGGAGTGTGCCACCACACCCGGCAATTTTGGTTTTCCAGATTTCATGCCTTTATAGTCAGAGTTACTATAGTCAGATATTATAGTCAGAGATAGGATAGGATTTCAGTTTTAAATAGGTGAATACAAAACTTGTTTTGTGGCCTAATATGTAATTTGTTCTGGAGTGTTTTCAATGAGAAGACTGGAATCTGCTTCTGTTGACTGCATTTTCTTTATCTGTCTGTTAATGTCCATTAGACAAGTCTTTATTGTGTTTGTTTGTTTTTTTTTTTTTGCCAGTCCTGGGGTTTCAACTTAGGGCGTGGGCACTGTCCCTGAGCTTCTTTTGCACAAGGCTAGCACAATACCACTAAGCCACATTCCCAGCCCCTCACAGTATTGTCATTGTCTCAGTGACAATGTCTCAATGACAATACGGGGAATTGAAAAGACAAATCTTGATGAAATGTTAGGTTTTGAAATTTGCTACTACTATCATTCTGTACTTCTCTTCAGATCTGTTAGCACTTTGGGTTACTCACTGTATATTTAAATTACTATTACATTCTTGACCAATTGAACTTTTTTGAAAAAAATTTTTACTGTTATAAGGTACAGAAATATACAGAGGAAATGAAACCTTTTTATCACTGCATAATGACTTGTCTATTTTTACAGTGGTCAACATAATGTCTTTTTCTGAAACAAGCATTGCCAACCTCTCTTGTTTCCATTTATGTATAGTTTGTGTCTATTTATATATAGTGATCACATGAAAGAACTTCATAAAGTGAAAATGCTATGTCTTATGATGCTTGTTAAGTGGGTGAAAACATTTGTCAGACTTATTGAACATTATATAAATTGTATTTATATGTTGAAGTCTAAGGATATGAATAGTAGAAGTGTAAAAAGTTGGGTTGAAAGTATATGCCATCATTGCCAGGTGTGATGTTGCATAAGTTTGGAGATGTGGGTTTTCTTTCAAGAGCAGCCCAGGCAAAAATGTACAGGCAAAAATGTAGTGAGACCTGTGCCTATGCCAATGGTTTAGGCATGTAATTCTAATTACTCAAGAGATTGAGATATGAAGAATCACAACTTGAAGTCATCCTAGGCAGAAAAGTCCCAGAGACTTCAGTTAAGCAACAAAAAAAAAACAACCCCAACAAACTAGAAGCCGGGCGCTGGTGGCTCACACCAGTAATCCTAGCTCCTGAGGAGGCTGAGATCTGAGGATTATGGTTCAAAGCCAGCCCAGGCAGAAAAGTCAGTGAGACTCTTATCTCCAATAAACCACTAGAAAACCGGAAGTGGTACTGTGGCTCAAGCAGTAGAGCACTCGCCTTGAGCTGAAGAGCTGAGGGATGAGCCCCCAAGCCCAGAGTTCAAGCTCCATGACCAACAAAAAAACGAAAACAAAAACAAAAAGCAAACTAGAAACATGGCTCTTTAGTGGTAGGGTGGCAGCCATGAACATGTAAGCCAAGCAATATAGTGTGAGGCACTGAGTTCAAGCACCTATGGATAGTGGCACATGTATATGATCCCAGCTGTTAGAGCTATAGGAGTAGGATAATTGTGATTGAGGCCTACTGTTAGAAACAATCTGAAATGTAAAGCAAAAATGGTGGAGACATGGCTCAAATGCTAGAACACCTGCCTAGCTAACGTAAGTCCCTGCTAACTTCAGTGCCTGAGTTTAACCATTGAATTGCAAAAACAGAAAAGCATACCTCAAAATACATTCTTTTGCATATTTTAATTATTATTACATGGATTAAAATATGTGTTATTCTGGTCATTACTATATGTGTAAAGATACTTTAGAATTAGTGCACTAAAGTGGCATTATTGACAGTAATAGGAGGGTTTTCGAAGTGATTTATAATGAATGGTGTTTTGATAAATGGGAACCTGCCCCTCCCCCCAAATACATTTTTTAAGTTATTTAGTCTTATGTTTGAGAGAAAATTAGTTCTGAAAGATTACTTTGATAAATACATCAAGTATATAAAACAGTATGAACACATTGTACTAGTTCTATTGAACTGTGCACATTTTCTGTCTCTCAGGTGACCAGTGTGTGTGTGGAAGGGCAAAGATGGAATAGAATAGGACATCAGGTATAAATGTGTGATCACAATAATTCTGGTAAAATTAGGTTGAAAGTCAACCTGAAAAAAATTAAGACACTCCTAGTTTGATGCTTTTCAATTTAGTCAGCACTTTTGAGACCAAATTTATTTTCAGGTTTACACAAGGTTTACATTGGATTTCTAAATGATAATGCCTGTCTGATTATAGTTTTTGTTTGTTTGTTTTGTTTTGTTTTTGGGTCCGGTCGTGGGGCCTGAACTCTGGGCCTGGGCACTGTCCCTCAGCTTTTCAGCTCAAGGCTAGTGCTCTACCACTTGAGGCACAGCACCACTTCCAGCTTTTTTCTTTTTGCTTATGTGGTGCTGGGGAATCGAACCCAGGGCCTCAGGCATGCAAGGCAAGCGCTCTACCACTGAGCCACCTTCCCAGCCCCTGATTGTAGATTTTTGAACTTGGAGAATAACTTGGATTTCCCTCAGTAACTTTTTTTTTTTTTTGGTGTGTTATGGTATTAATGATCATTCCAAGTTGAATGAACTAGAAGAATCTTAAAAACTCAAGAATTTATTAATGCTTTTTACCACTACTCTCCCAGACCTTTATTAATACTTTTGACAAAGTGGGACCAATAAAGATACCTTTAAAAAATTAATAGTAAAGAATTAAATTTATGGAAAAACACAGTAGATCTAAAGTGTGTAGTTGATCTCTGGAAAAGTTCCTTTCCACTTAAGATAGTGCCATACTTGATTTCGAAGACTTCACCAGAAGTTCTTGTTGAATAATAGATTCCCATCCAGTATGCCAATTGTGTTCTAATACTGTATAGAATGGGTTGTGAATGAATGATTGTTATCATGACTTCTCAGTTGTTGATAAAATAATAATGCATAGTTGCTATATTGTTTTAAACTCTATTAAGATGCTGAAGGCATTAGATGACTCCAAGAGAAACATGTGAAGTGTGTTTGACTGACTTCTCTAATCATTCAACTTGAGATAGTCATTAATACTGTAACACAAAAAAAAGCTGCTGAGGCAAATGTAAGTTATTCAAAAGTCTCCAAATACAAAAATGTCACATTCTTGTGATATTTAGCTAAAGTATATAAATTTTTTACCCATAGGGTGGCATAAACTATTTTTTTTTCTTAATACCTTTGGTGGTCAGCTTAACTGTAATAAGACAAAGTGCAATACTGTACTTTATTTATTTTGGGGGAGGGGATTTGTCTTGGGGCTTGAACTCAGGGCCTGAGCACTGTTCCTGAGCTTTTTCATGCCCTACCGTTTTGTCCCGTAGCGTCACTTCTGGTTCTCTGGTCACAGACTTTGCTGCCCAGGTTTTGAACTGTAATCCTCAGATCTCAGCCTCCTGAGGGTTACAGGCAATCTAGAAATCTCTTGACTTTGGTAATCTATTGGAGAAGAGATAGAAACCTAAGTTTCCATGAGTAGGTAAGTAAAAAAACTATGGAAATACGTTTAGCAGTACTGTTGGAAAGGCAAGAAGATGTTTTGTGAACTTTTAAAATCAAATGGGTTATTGAAAAAATTTTATGAATTGTAAGTCATGATGTTAGTTTTTATAAAATTTGACTTTCATAATTCTCACAAATAGGTTTAAGAAAATCTACCAAGAAGCGCAGTGAGTCACCACCTGCTGAGCTCCCCAGTTTGAGGAGGAGCACACGCCAAAAGACCACGGGCTCCTGTGCTAGTACCAGGTAAGTTCAGCTTATGTTTTACTTTTTTTTTCTTTAAGTTGTTTTAGAGATGATATTCAGCAGGGTTACCTTTACATATGTTGGGTGATAAGTGCCTTGTTTTTCTTTTCCTTAGTATGGGCTGTTCCCTACTTCTCTCTTTTCCTCCCTCCCTATCTTCACCCATCGTTGCTTGGTTCATCTTCATCAATGTCCAGTGCAGCTGATGGTTTCCGCTGCTGCACTTTTTCACTCTCCACTTTTTAATATTCTGCTTGTGTGCACATTTTTGTAAGTTATTTTTTTGTGTGACATTGTCACACTATGTAGCCCAAGTTGTTCTCAAGCTCATTGTCCTTTTGCCTCAGCTTCCTGAGTGCTGGTATTACAAGTGTGTACTACCATACTTGGCCTGATAGTGATTTGAGTAAATACATGTAAGATCACTAGTGTATTTTTGTGAATTCTTCTCGTCCCCCAATATTTAGTTAGGTTTTTACTAAGTTGGCATCTTGTTATTTATTATTTATCCTCATCCACCCTAAGGCTTGAACTGAGAGTCTTGTGCTTGCCAGTCAAATGCTTTAATATTTGAGCCATGACATTCTTCCAGCTCACTTAGTTATTATTTTATTTTTGACAACACTGTCATTCTCTACTTTTTCCTCTTTTACTACACCATTTTCTAGAGTTATTGCTAGGAAGTATTTGGATATTTGATTGTTTGCAGAGTTCTAATTTGCCAAATTCATCTCTAATGAGCATCTTTACGTTGTTTTAAAGGTAGCTAAATTTTCCAGTGGTGTGACTAATGAATCAAAAGGGATGCCTGCTTGAGTGGCTTTCATATTGCCTAATTAGTTTCTGAACGTGTTGGCATATGTTACTAAGTTTAATGGCTAAGGGAAGAAAACATAGTTAATTTTCTTTATAACACACGTCCAGAAAAACTGTGGGGCAATGTGTGTTCTCTTACATCTCCAATTTTTATTTCTCTCAGTTGTTGTGGAACTCTTTTTCAGAATGTCCCCTACCTTTGGTATGTGGTACAGGGTATGATTCATATACTTTGATTGAATGGTTGAAAGTCTTAGGTTCAACAGAAGTCTTTCCATTACAATTTCCTCTCAGAATTTCAGGCTTGAACAGTTTGCTAAGTGTATTTATTCTGTTAATTATCCAAAAGTCAAATGTGACTTCTCCCTCTTTTATAAATATAAGATTTCTTTTTTATTCTTTTTTTTAAATTAGCCTATATTAGTTATATGGAAGAGAATTTCATATACATTTCCACACATTTTCCCACACATTTTTATAGTGTGTTCCAATCAATCTCACCCTTTCTGTTGCCTCTTTTACTGTCTCTTTCCTCCATCTCCCTATATGTAGTTTGCTTGTTTCTTCTACTAAGTACAAGTGATAGGATAATCTTTTTTTTTCCCCTGTTCTAACTTGGGTAAAAGGCTTTAGTACATTTGGTTTTTCAAGGTAAACTGTTCTTTCTGTTTTCAGCAGTGACACAACAATCACCTAAAGAAAGACCATGCATTAGTCATAAGAAATGTATCCTTGCTCCATTATAAATCCTTGTTTTTCTTTTTTCTTTTTTTTTTTTGGTGCTGGATATTGAACCTAGAACTTTATGCATACTAATCTGTGCTCTACCACTGAATATCCTCAGCTTCTATACTTACTTTCCAGTTATTCAGATTATTTATGATATCTAGACTACTATTCCTTTTTTTTTTTCTTCAAGCAGAAAAGAGTTTATTGGGAGAGCAAACTGCGGCCCCACACAAGATAGAGGGGTGTGGAAACAGAGAGGAAGGAAGAAGAGAAAAAGAGAGAGGGACTTGTTGAGCCAGATTATATAGGGAAAGGAGGGAGGCAGGCCCAGAGTGGATGCAGAATTCCTTTTTGTTTTGTTTCTTAGCAATCCTTTGGTAAGGATTTCTGAAAATTACTTATTCAGAGATGTAGTCTGAATTTTGAATCTTATGAAAGGTGTATAGACTGATACAAAAACTTAATTCACTATGGTTGCAATTAACTTTAAGCTGTAATCAAAGCCAGGTAAATAGTATTACAATTCTCTTTCATTTTCTTTGATCCTTCAACACATGACCACTTAATACATGTAAAACTACTTCTAGCACACACGGCCATTCTGTGCACAGCTATCTAGTTCTCAGCTGGAGAGATGTGCTGTTCATCAGAAACCTTCATGAGAGGGAAACAAAAAACTTGATGAAATTATTTGAGCATTAAATTCAAGTTGTATTTAACACTTGCATGTCAGCATCCCTGTGTGTCTAGTATTCAACTTTGTGTCCAAGTGAGATGTTGGGGCAGTTAGAACCTCCCTAATTTGTAATTTGGTAAAATTGAGGTTTGAGTAAGCTCTTAACTTGTGAATGATTTAACCAACTCTGTTTCACTATTTATGAAAGCATAATTAAGACCTTCATTTATATGTCCATTATGGCTGCTTGCTTTTTTATCTTTCATGAAGGAACAACTAATTTTGTTGTCGTTTTTAAAAAAACTAGTCATAAACTTTTTTTTTTTGCCAGACTCGGGGCTTGAACTTAGGTCCTGGGGCTTGAACTCAAGGCCTGGGCACTGTCACTGAGCTTCTTTTGCTCCAGGCTAGCACCCTACTACTTGAGCCATATCACCACTTCAAACCTTTTCTGTGTATGTGGTACTGAGGAACTGAACCCAGGTCTTCATGCATAGTAGGCAAGCACTCTTTTAACACTAAGCCACATTCCCAGCCCTAATCATAAACTATTTTATTAGGCTAGGTGCTGCTGGTGGCTCATACCTTTGATCCTAGGATCTCAGGAGGCTGAGATCTGAGGATCATGGTTCAAAACTAGTGGGACAGGAAAGTCCATGAGACTCCATCTCCAAAAACTGGAAGTGGATTTGAGGTTCAAAGTGGTAGGGTGCTAGCCTTGTGATAAAGAGCTCAGGGATATTGGGTAGGCCCTGAGTTCAAGCCCCACAACCAACAAAAAAACAAAAACAAAACACATTTTTTTATTAGCTGTTTGCAATTCTTAAGGTATTTTGGAAAACTTTTTAAACACAAGTTATAACAGGACATCTTTTTCTGCCTGATTTGCTTACCAGTTATTAAAATTATCACCAATGAAATGTAATTTGCTTCATGAAAACTGGTTATTCTGTTTCCCGTATTTTATTGTCTTTATCCTGAATAAAAGTCTTTCTAAATGTTGTCTGTTTATGAAAATTAAGTCATTCTTTTTTTTTTTTTTTAAGTGCCAGTCCTGGGGCTGAAACTCAGGGTATTGTTGCTGCCCCTGAGTTGTTGCTCAAGGTTAGCATTCTACCTCTTGAGCCACAACTAGTATTGTTTTGACACTTCTCGTTAGTGTTCACTTAGAGGTCTACCCTTACACATTCTGACTAAATAAATGTTCATTTCAACTGAAATGTAACCAGAGCATTACATAGTAGCTCAAAATCATATTCAAAACTATCTTTCTCTGTCCCCCAACTTTTTTTTTTATTGATCTTATTTCATTAGACCTCAAAGTTGAAGTCAAGACTAAATTCCACTTTTTTCTTGGCCTCTGGCATCCAACCATTTGTCAGATCACAGCTCCACTTCTGGTGCATTTGTCTATGTGTTTTAATTGGAGATAGAGTTTTATGGACTGGGTTTTATGGACTGGGTTTTACTGCCTGGGTTGGCTTTTGAACCATAATCCTCAGATCTCAGCACCAGCTAGTCGTTAATTCTTTATTTCATACGTCTGTGTTATTATGCATTGTTAAGATAGTTGGTTTGGAATAGTTTAGTTATTCTTGGACATGGAAAATGAGCATGGTTTTCCTGATTTTCTTCTCCAATTGTCAGTGTCTGTATATTGCAAGCTTGTGTGTGTGTGTCTGTGTCTGTGTCTATACACACTTTTTTTCTTCCCTCTGTCCTCCCCCTCTCTCTTTCCTTCCTTCCTTCCATCCATCCTTTCTTCCTTCCTCTCTCTCTCTCTCTCTCTCTCTCTCTTCCTTCCTTCCTTCATTGTTCTGAGGCTTCTACTTAAAGTCTGAACACTGTCCTTGAACTTTTTTGCTCAAGGCTAGCACTCTGCAACTTGAGCCATTGAGATGACAGTTTGGTGGACTTTTCTGCCTGAGCTGATTTTGAACCACAATCATCATATCTCAGTCTCCTAAGTAGCCAGGATAACAGGCATGAGCCATTGAAGCTTGGCTATTGATCCATGAGACCTCAAAGTCATAGTCATTTTTAGCATGCAGATGGGGCTCTATTTTAGTTAGCTGAATATTTCTAATCAAGAGGAGTTATTTTTCTCCTTTGTTGTGTTTTAAAATAATTTGTTAGAATGACAACCAATATCTTCCAGAAACACAAAAGTATGTGTTGTGAATACACTATAACTTGGAAGAATTTTACATATACAGAGTCTTAGTTGTTAAACAGAGAGATTTTCTACAACAATTTTTATTTAAAAAGGAGAAGAAACTGGCTTTGTGCTCTATGAATTTGAGCTTTGTGTTGTCTATACATTGCTCCTAGTGCCTTGGTAAGCCTGCCTGTGATGACATCTTTCTGTTGCAGTCGGCGAGGCTCTGGCCTGGGCAAGAGAGGAGCAGCTGAGGCTCGTCGGCAGGAGAAAATGGCAGACCCTGAAAGCAATCAGGAGACAGTGAATTCTTCAGCTGCCAGAACAGATGAAGCTCCCCAAGGAGCTGCAGGTAGATTGACACTTCTTAGCCCTAAAATGCATTTCTATGTCTATGATGATGTGTTGGGATCAGAAATAATCTAGGTGTTAACCACCAAATAAGTTTTTGTTTGGTTTTGTCTTACCTTACATGTTTGGTATTTGAGTATATTCATTTTTCTTTATTTTAAATTCTGACCTTATAGAAAAGGGTAAATTCCTTTTGATTTAATCTTTTCATACTGACACGTGCATATAGTAGTTGCCAGTTGATTCTTTGAAAGAATTAAGTTTGTAATGAAAGGTAAGGATAAGGTGTGAATTATTGCACAAGCATGAATTTTAATTGAGTGTTTTCAAAGTTCTAAAGTAGTATTTGGTTCATCTAAGCTATTTTCATAATACTGTTTACATTTTTATGGATATCATATTCTTGCTAGTTTAGAGTAACAGAATTGATAGAGACTTCCTCCCTTCAGCTTTAAATACTTATCCAATACCATTGCCAAACATTGTGAAACAAAACTTTATTTAAACTGTAGTTAGTGAGATTGAAAACATACTTTAAAGTTGATTTTCTTTTTAATAATAGATAAAAAAGTTTAAAACTTTTACAATTATTATGGACATAAGTATGAGTCCCTTAAATCAGGATTACTGTACATGAGTCTAGATGGTGGCATATTTAATTGAACAAAGCAATTTTATATACTTTGATTTAGTATTAGAATATGTGCTAGTTTTTCTTAACAGCTGTGATTGGTCATCTCATAGATTGCCAGAAAGGTTCTGGAGCTCACTGCTGTTCTTACCATACTGTCCAGCTTAGCATTGGTCCTTGTTTTTGTTAATTTTTTTTAAGATCTCTACTCTTTTCCAGTTCATATAAGTTGTATGTTCAGTTTAAAGCAACTTTTTTTAGTATATATATATTTTTTATTGTAACGATACTGTAGAGAGGTTACAGTTACATGAGTAAGGTAATAAGTACATTTCTTATGGAGCATTGTTACCTCCTCCTTTTTTTTCCCCCTACCATCCCTTCCCTTCCCACCTCCCCAACTCCTCCTTTCCTTAACTCCTCCCCTCCACCCCCAAGTTGTAAAGTTCATTTTCAGCATAGTCTTGTTACAGTGGGTCAGCCTATATCCGTATTTCAGCATTTTGTTATTTCCCTTCCCCTCCCCAAATTAGAAAAATGTATATACAAGATGCAGGGCACCAGAATCAAATACAGTGAAAACGGATTGTACCACAGGGGAAGAACATACAAAAGAAACAAAAAAATCACACAGTATATTATAAATACATTAGAAACAACAGCAAGAAAGATAAAACCTTAGAGCAGCTTTTCTGTTGGGAGAGAACTTTGCAGTCCCATTCTGTTTTTTTCCTAGAATAATTTCATTGAATATTAATTGGTAAATACTTAAAAAAATATAGGCCATTTTGCGTGAAATTCACCAAAGCCTGTGTGTCATGACCCACATTCTATTCTTTCCAGTCTTGTACATTATTTCTCAGTCTATTAATTTCAAGACTGAATGTGGAAGAAAGACAGTTCCCAAATGGGTGACAAAGGTTTTGCTGAATGTTTTACAGTAGACTCTGGAGCAATTAACAGTGGCTGACATATACTTTACTGCAAATACAGTATTTAACACTTGACACATAATTCTCATTTTAACATTCAAAACCTGTTAGGGTAAGGGTTTTGTTGCCATTTTAAAAATAGGAATTAACAGAGACACAATTGGTTAACTTGCCCAGGTTTCTAAGCTAGAATGGATTTGTGACATTTAAATCTAGGTCTTAGTACAAATTTATAATACCTATGTTTTCTTAGGGTTGTAAGGGTATTTAATTCATACAAATATAACTGGGAGTGTTTAATTCATGTGGAGATAATTGGAAGCTAGAATTGAGGGTATGGAAGCAAGAATTTTTTATCTCAAGCAAATAAAATTCAAGGGAATTAGTCGAGTCAGATTGCCTTCCTAAACACAATATAATATAGGTATTTTCTTAGTTTATATGTTATGACTAGTAATTAAAGATACGTGTGACTGCCAGGTACATGCTCACGTCTGTAATCCTAGCTACTCCAGAGGCTGAGATCAAAGCCAGCCCGGGCAGGAAAGTCCGTGAGTCTCTAATCTCAATTAAACTACCAGAAAAACCGGAAGTGGTGCTGTGGCTCAAGTGGTAGAGTACTCGCCTTGTGCTGAAGAGGTGAGGGACAGTGTCCAGACCCAGAGTTCAAGCCCCATGACTGGGGAAAAAAAAGATACATGTGACTTATTAGTATTAGATAAACACAAAATTTAGTATATTTGTAGGGCACATGGCTTGTTAGGTGTAGGAATTCCTCTATTTTGCTTATTTATGGAGTTTTAAGTTCTTCAGAATAATATGCTTTAGTTTATTTGTAAATTAACAAATGTCTAAATTAATGTAGGGCATAGAGCTTAGACTTGTGGAAGTGACTTTGACCACCATGTTGAGTAATCCTATTCTTTGAGCTTCTATAGTTGGTAGAATACTCCCTTCAAAATAGTGAAATGTTAAGAAAAAAATAGATGTTGATCTGACAATTTTAGATTGAAAATCTCTAATTTCCCAAGAAATAATTGAGATCAGATAATAGAAAGCAACCTTGTTTTATAAACTCTACTGTATTTACCTTTGTTTAGTACCATAATGACCATATTACCTGATAATGAAACTCATAGTAAAGTATAATTGCTCTAGTAAGGTATATATTCTAGTAACCATGCTGTTGACATTAGTTCAAAGTTTTGTGACATGTTGAGGAAGGAGGGGAAGAGGAAAAGATAGGGAAGGCAAGAAATCTTCTATTGCCTCCTGTGCTTTGCATCTAAAAGCTTTTTAACAATTTCTTGATAGTTAAAATCTCATTCTATAAACTTCATAGCATTTTATCTTTTATGTAAAAGGTTGTAATGCTTGAAGTATAAAAACTTGGTGCTCTTATAGTAAAACTTTCATCTTCTGATTTAAACACTTTTATCCATTGTAAACATTGTTCATAGCACTGTGGTAATATGTTAACACTAGATTAGAGAACTGGAGACATACTAGCTTTAGAAAAAGTGATACTGCTGAAAATCTGGCTTTGAGTTTTATTGCCCACAATCCTATTTTTATATTTGACTGTGGACAAAAGTGGTGTATGTGATGGAGGAAGTTTATAGCCTTAACTAAGATTGACTGGGAGTTGGCTCCTATAGGAGTTTACAGACAGCCCCCTTAGCCAAGACTAGACTAATTTGGGTTGTCTTTAGTTTTGTAAAACATACCAAATGACCACAGACAAAACTCATTTGCCTTTAAAGGGCTAGTCATAGGATCCCTTTGCCTCTACTAACTGGCTTCTGTCAGAATTGGCTAACTACCCCCACTGTAAAACAGTTGTACTGATTCTGTAGCTCCATAAAACTTGAGAGAACAAAACTTTCGAATATGTTCTATAAATTTTACATATTGGTTAATGTCTTTTTTTGGCATTATAATTTGTGGAATTTATTACAGTGCTACACTAACCTTTCATGATGATAGCTCTGTAGTATACTTTAAAGTAAATTTAAAACCTATTAAATATAGTTTTAGTATTTAAATTTTTTTTTATTATGAAGGTTATATACAGACAGGTAAAGAGTACTTTTATTTTTGGACTTCATCCCTTTGCTCTCTCCCAGTAGTTTTATTTATTTATTTGCTTGGTTATGGGGCTTGAACTCAGGACTCTGGACACTGTTCCTGAGCTTTTTTGCTCAAAGCTAGTGCTCTACCACTTTGAGCCACAGCACCACTTCTGGTTTTCTGGTGGTTAATTGGAGATAAGAGTCTTGGGGACTTTCCTGCCCAGGCTGGCTTTGAACCACGAGCCTCAGATCTCAGCCTCTTGAGTAGCTAGGATTACAGATGTAAGCCACCAATACCTGTACAACGGTATGAGTTATTTTTTGTTGTTCTTGTTTATTTGCTTGCTTTTTAATGTGTAAATACCAGAGTGCTTTTTCTTTTTCTTTTTTTAAGAGTGCTTTTTATTTATGTTTTTGTCGATGGTGAGGCTTGAACTCAGAGCCTGGGTGCTGTCCCTGAGCTCTTTTGCTCAAGGCTAGCACTTCTACCACTTTGAGGCACAGCTCTACTTCCAGTTTTTTGGGTGGTTGTTTGGAGATGAGTGTCATAGGCTGACTTTGAACTGCAATCCTCATCTCAGCCTCCTGAATAGGATTAAAGTTCTTAGCCATCAGTACCTGGACAGAGTGCTTTTTAAAAGCCAAACATTTCATATACTAAAACTTTGTGTTTGCTTTCCATAGACCTGGAAGAGCCACTTTAACACGCTCAGTCATAATCAATATCTAATATAAGTATTTGTTTACAGGGTTTCTGTATACTGTGAAGAAATTACACTAATTTATTAAAAAGGACTTCTGACAAGTATGTCTAAGACGCTGATATCATACGTACTTTTAAAGAATACAATGGGGGCTGGAAAATTGGCTCAGTGGTACAGTGCTTGCCTCGCATGTATGAGGCCCTGGGTTTGATTCCTCAGCACCGCATAAGCATTCTGGCATTTTGCCAGAAGTGGCACTGTGGCTCAAGTGGTAGAGCGCTATCCTTGAGCTGAAGAGCTGAGGGACAGTGCCCAGGCCCAGAGTAATAATAATAATAATTAATAATAAAATAAAGAGTACAGTCGGGGAAGTGGCACTGTAGCTCAAAGTGGTAGAGCACTATCCTTGAGTGAAAGAGCTCAGGAATAGTTTCCCCCGGCCCTGAGTTCAAGTCCCATGACTGACCAAAAAAGAAAAGAAAAAAACGTACAATAGGTTTGGAGGCATGGCTCAGTTGATAGAGTGCTAGCCAATGAGCAAAAATGACCACAGGTTCCAGTCCTAGTCTCAGACCTAAGAAGAAGAAGAGTATAATGAGTAAAGTCAGATTATCATGAATTCAAACTTTGGTTCCCTTATCAGTAATCTACTTTGGAAAAGAAAACTCAGTTACAAAGCCTTAGTTTCTTGTGTGTGTGAGTTCTTAAAATTTTTTTAGTTGTGAGGGAATATGTAGGTGATCACTGCATATAGAACACATTTAATAAATGCTGCCTTATAAGTAGCATCATATAGTGTATTGGTTTGTCATTTTTTTCAGTAGCAGCAGTGAGTGTAGGTGGTTAAACCTGGATAACCCTTTAATATCAGTATTTTTGGGTAACCTTTAGCTCTTAAAACATTTTTTAACAATTCCTATAAAAGGCCAGATAATGTTTTAGGCTTCATATGGTCTCTGTTGCAATTAATTCAATTTGTGATGATAGCATGAAAGCAGCCTTAGACAGTATATAAATATATAAGCACAACTACATTGTAATAAGTTTGTATTTAAAAATCCAAGACTAGATTTGGCCTTTGGGCCATAGTTTGTTCATCTTTGTTTAATCTGTAAACTTAAAAAAAAACGCTGAAATTTAAAATATTCAATGGAAAAATAGGAATAAAAATTCAGAGTTGGTGGCTGGTGCATTGGCATATTTTACTTAAGAAAAGCTCTGTTTGTTTATTTTTAAATGTTTTGAGACAGGGGTCTCTACGTAGCCCAGCCTGGCCTTCAACTCAAGATCCTCCTGTTTCATTTTCCCAAGTGCTGGGATTATAGGTGTGGGCCACCACAGCCATCTCAGAAAAGCTTTAACTTTACATAGTACTCATGAGCCTTCTAAAAAAGTCTTTCTGACTATCTGTCTGGTATTCTGCTATCTGTCTAGTAAACCGTGTTTTTGAAATTGTGAATCATGTGGTCATAGGTACATCAGTCCTATCTGTTTAAACCAATACACCAAGAGTAAAGAATACACTTAAAAGTACAGCATGCTGCTAGTTTTGCAGTAGTTTTTGTTGTTTTTGTTTTCTTTGTGTTTTGTTTGTTTTTTCCTGGTTAGAGTCATATCTTGATGACCTTACAATAGTTTTGGTTTTGGTTTGGGTTCAGATCAGCATTTTGTGTGGTTAATGTCCCTCTGAGCCTTCTTTTTTTCCCTCTGGATCTTTAGTTCTTCATCCTACGCTAGTTTGGACATTAAGTTTTCTCTTTCAGAGCAATGCTTTCAAGTCATCTGTTCATCGTAATTTTTATCTTCAGTATTTTGTTCCAAAAATAAGAATATATAATCTGTCTGTACTTTTGAAATTAGAGGAAACAGATAAAAGTGATTTTAGCAGTATTGCTTTCATTGACTTTTGGTTCAGGAGTCCAGGACAAGACTTAATTCATTTTTTCAAAGGGTTTGAGGAGTTTGTCAAAAGCCATGTATGAATGAAATGCAAAGATTGTTTTTTTTATACTTGTTTAATACTAAGGTAGTTCAGTGTTGCTTTTGTTTTAAACACTGCAGAATGAAGTTTAGAACAGCAGCTGAGTGTGCGGTATGAAGACAAGTTTAATTGCCTTTATTTTTAAGTCTGTAAAATGTTGGTTTTTCTTTTTTTTAAGATAAGCCAGACATAATGAATTTAAATGCTCCTCTCCTAACCCTCACCCTCCCTTCCCCAAAAGCCTCTAGTTCTGTTGCAGGGGCTGTTGGCATGACTACCTCTGGGGAGAGTGAATCGGATGATTCTGAGATGGGACGATTACAAGGTAAAGACAGTCTGAAAGAAATGATTACTACAGGCTGCCAGCTACTCCTGTTCTCTTTTGAAATTAATTCTGTTTTGTTCATTTGAACATCTTGCAGTGCCTGCACTTCTAAAAAGGCTGCTTAGTGGTGATACGATGCTTGAGTTCAGAATATGAGCTATCTGCATCTTCATTTTTACTGTTAATTTGATTAGAAAGCCTTAGATAATTTTATACTATTAAAATTTTCTTAGCTGGGCACTGGTGGCTGACTCCTGTAATCCTAGTTACTCAGGAAACTGAGATCTGAGGAATCAAGGTTTGAAGCCAGCCTGGGCAGTATTGTCCTTGAGGCTCCATTTCCAATTTACCAAAAAGCTGGGCTGGAGGCGTGACTCAGGTGGTAGAGCATTCGCTAGAGCAAGCCCAGCAAGAGCACAAGACACTGAGTTCAAGTTCCAGAACCAGCCTCCCAAAAATCTTTATCATGGTTACAGACATATCTGGTTTTAACAATAAATTATAAAACAACCTTGAAAAGGAGTAGCTTAATATGTTGTTCTTTGGTACCTAATAACATGAATGCATTTAGTAAGGTAGGTTTTTTTTCCCTCCAATGTTCTTTTGTCTTTTTGGTCACCTATTTTAAAATGAAGGGTATAGTATATAAATATATATATATATATATATATATATATATACACTATATATATAAATTTCAGATTTTTTTATAATTGTCAGAGCCTTTACAAAAAGCAATCTTAAATTTTGTATAAACTTTTTATTTAATAGGTGGATGTGTATTTCTGTCTCAAATTGTAGATTTAGAATAGATCCTCAATGTAAGGCTTAGGAGAATCTTATAAGTAAATTTCAAATAATTTTTTTTTTAGTTCTTAAGAGACATGACAACTGTCTTTAGAGCTCTTATGAACTCAGAATTTTTCTTTTTGAACCTAAAAAATACGATTTTCATAGTGTTTTTGGAGAGTCTTAGCCAATATGTCACTGGGAAACAATGTCAGGAAAAAGTGGACAAGGGTGTTTAATATACCTACCTACATTGGGTTTTTCTTGAAAAAGTTAACAGTTCCTGCTGGCACTGGATTTTAAGTTTTTCATAAAACTTAAGATGCTTGATGTATAGGCATCTATACTTGAATGTATACTACATTAATAAATGCAAGTGGTCTTGGAAGTTTAATATAGTTTCTCTTGAAATTTAGAATGAAAAGTAACATTGGCTAACTCAATTATGTGAGATGAATCAGTTCCTTGACATTTTAAGAAATGATCAGTTGCATTAAATAAACTCAACTACTCCCCCTGCCCTTCTTTTTTTCTTTAGCTCTGTTAGAGGCCAGGGGTCTTCCTCCTCACCTGTTTGGTCCTCTTGGTCCTCGGATGTCACAACTTTTCCATAGAACAATTGGAAGCGGAGCTAGTAAGTGAATATTTAAAGTTTTCCCCCTTGAAGCCTCTTAATTAGTTAAGTGCTATTCTTAATGTTTACTTATTGATGGATAAGTATTAGGGCATTTTCATGAACTTTCAGTCTTTTTTTAAAAGTAGGATTTGTGTATGTTTCACCTTGCATTCAGCATCTGTAAATTTTCTTTTGTACTTTTATTTTTGATTAATGAGCTGGGATTTTAAAAAACTAGCATTTGTAGTAATGTTATGTTTTGTTTGAACTAAAGAACAGTAAATTATTTACTGGCAATTACCTGGTTGCATGGGCTCATAGATTCAGAACTTGAGTTTTTATGGTATAACAAAGTTTACTTTATAAAGCAGTCAGTCTTATATGAGCCTGAGGACAATTTCTAGTCACTGAATTATCAAATTAGTGTGTTTTAACACAGGGATTTTATATGATTGACATAACAATCTGAATTGTAACTAAAAGTACTTTACACTTGATTTCTAACAGGTAATCATTTACATTAGCTTCCTAAAAACTCAAATTTATTCTGTTTTATTTTTTTGTGCTGGTACTGGGCTTTGAACTCAGGACCTGGGGTACAGTCCCTTAGGTTTTTTTGCTCAAGGCTAGCTCTGCTGCTGGAACCATAGACCATAGCTCTACTTCTGGCCTTTTTTTTTTTTTCTTGATGGTTAATTTTGGAGAAAGAGTCTCACAGGCTTTTCTGCCTAGGCTGGCTTTAAACTGCAATCCTCAGATCTCAGCTCTCCTGAGTAACCAACAGTGCAGGCCTGAACCTGTAATTCTAATACTTGGCAAGGAAATAAAAGAAACAGCTGGTATTTTGTTTTGTTTGTGCTACCCTGATAGATCTTAGATAACATGCAAAAGTCAGCTTTTTTTTTTCCTCTTTTTTTGGTGGTACAGGAGATTGAACCTAGGGTCTCATGCTTTTACTACTTGAGCTATGCTTCCAGTTGCCCCTATTCTTTCTCTTTATTTTTATTAAGTGAATGATGGTCATTTTTTCCTTCATCCTCCCTAATTCTTCCCCCTCAAGTCAGATCACTTTTCAAGTTATTTTTCTTGAGAAAATGTCTTATCATGTAGCCTGAAGGCTTGTCTTAAACTTTGGATCCTCCTACCACTCCTTCCTGTGTGTTGTGATTACAGGTGTGTGCCTGGCTTCTTACAAACTCTTGAATTGGATATTTAGTGCCATTCACTAGATATTGGGATTATACTCAATTACAAATAGGATAAGTAGAGTTGCAGACTTTTCATATAGGATGATAGCAACGAACAGTTATTCTATACTAAAAATTTAGATTTAGTTGTCAGTACAAGGAAAAGGAAACAAAGAATAACGGTTGTAGGTTGAAGGAAGGAGATGGGTAGACTGGTTAGAGAAACCTTATCTTGAGATCTTAGGAGTTTTATAGAGATTAAAGTGAGGTTAAGAAACCAGCCATGCATAGGTCCTCATGAAAGAACATGTGTCATGCCAGAAATGGGAATAAATTTGTGTTTGAGAAACTGCATGAGAAAGTGAAAGGAAAATGGTAGAAGATGAAACTGAAGAGATACAGGGATTTATCAGAATAGGAGGCTTTGGCAATTCAGCCATAAGTATAGGAAATCAGGAGCTATCTCAGCTTAGAAAGGGAGAATGAGGGCTGCGAAGGTGGCAGCCATAGAGTACTTGGCCTCACATGCATGAGGCCCTGGGTTTGATTCCTCAGCACCCCATACACAGAAAAGGCTGGAAGTGGCACTGTGGTTCAAGTGGAAGAGCACTTGCTTTGAGCTAAAGAGCTAAGGGACAGTGCCTACGCCCAGAGTTCAAGCCCCACAACTGACCCCCCCACCCCCACCCCCCAAAAAAAGGGAGAATGAGATTGATTATGAAAAAGATAGGATAAAGTTGAATAACTAACAGTATAATAACCCCTACAACCTGCTGTCATTAATCCATAGCGGTTGGCATCTCATTTATATTCTTATCCATTCTCCTTACTCCAAGTGTTTTAGGGTCTCTTTATAGTAGTCTCCCATAGACTGGCTTGCAACTTCTGGTGACTCTCCGTGTGTGTGTGTGTGTGTGTGTGTGTAACTTCTGGTGACTCTGCTGGTATGTGTGTGTGTAACTTCTGGTGACTCTCCTGGGGTGGGTGTGTGTGTGTGTAACTTCTGGTGACTCTCCTGGTGGGTGTGTGACTTCTAGTGACTCTCCTGGTGTGTGTGTGTGTGTGTGTGTGTGTGTGTGTGCAACTTCTGGTGACTCTCCATGTGTGTGTGTGTGCAACTTCTGGTGACTCCTGGTGTGTGTGCGTGTATGTGTGTGTGTGTGTGTGCAACTTCTGGTGACTCTCCTGGTGTGTGTGTGTGTCCTGGTGTGTACGTGTGTATGTGTACACCCCTCTCCCCCGCAACCTGTCCTGGGCACTGTCCCGGGGCTCCTTTTTGCTCAAGGCTTGTGCTTACGACTTGCGCCAGTGCCACTTCTGGCTATTTATGTGGTTAACTGAGGTGAGAGTCTCATATAGTTTCTTGCCCAGGCTGGCTTCAAAACTGCAATCCTCAGATCTGAGCCTCCTGAGTGCTAGGATTACAGGCACAAGCCACTGGCACCCAGTGACCCCTCCTGCTTTAACCTGTGAGTACAGGGATTCCAGGTGTGCACCACCACTTCCAACTCGTTTGTTTTTAAGATACCATTTCATCTGCATATATTTGAATTTATAAGTATAAAAATGAAGAGAATGTTTCCTGGTATTAAGTTCAGAGCTCGTATATTCCCATGCTTTTTTTTTTTTTTCCTGTTTATGTGGTGCTGAGGAATCGAACCCAGGGCCTCGTGCATACAAGGCAAGTGCTCTATCACTGGGCCAAATTCCCAGCCCTATTCCCATGCTTTTTAAATCTTCTAAAATTTTGTTTTTCTTCAGTCTGGACCACATATGATTTTTACATCAGTGTATTTCTTGAGTTCATTTCTAAGACAAATCTGAATTTACTTGTTTTACCTCTTTATGTATTTCTAGGAAAAAGACTGGAAGGGCCTATTAACATTATAGGACCTATTAACATTAAAACACTCTAAATCCATATTTAAATCTTGGACTAGAGAAGAGTATAAAACTCCTTACACCTGCAGTGTCCCAGGTTCAACAATACCATTTCATGTCTAATAGTTACACATTTTTATCTGTATCACACTTTCCTTTATTGCTTTGAAATAAATCCAGATAAATGCTCTCACTTGTAAAACTTTCATCCTGATGCTCAAGATTCTTACGCTGTACACACACACACACACACACACACACACACACACACGTAATTGTAGTGGCTTTTAAAATTTTTGATTTGATTTTGTTGTTTTTTTCCCCCCAGTGAAGAAAGGCAATTCAAAAATACTGGGGTTTTTTTTGTTGTTTTGTATTAAGAGTAGCAAGCTGGGTTCTAGTTGCTCACTTACTATAATCCTAGCTATTAAGAAGCCAGGGATCAAGGTTTGAGGTTTGAAGACATTTAGGGCAAAAAGTCCATGTCTAAAATAACCAACAAAAACCCTGGCTGGAGAGTGTGACTTACTAGTAGTAGAGCAAAAGCCAAACAACTCACTGGTAGGGGAGGTGGTGATTGAAGTTTCAGTAAACAAACTTGAAACTCAGTGTCAAGATAACAAGGGTTACAAAATGGTAGTGCTTAGGACAAATAATTTCATATATGAGAAGTCATATTACTTTGGAGAAGAGTTGATAAAGGATATTTTACCCCCCCCCCCCGATTATTTGTTGGTTTTGTCTTTTGGCGGGGGATGAATCATTGCAAGTAGTGGGCTCTCATAGGGGCTTTAGATATTTTAGTGATTTTCATTGATGTATACATTGTTCCATTATTGGATGCTGGACTCTTCGTTTTGAGATTAGCTTCTGAACCTTGCTGACTTGACTTTTGATAGTTTTTGATAGCCTCTTTGCTTTTTGGTGTGATATAACTAAGCTCAACAGTCTTAAATTCTCTTCTACTGTAAATGTACATCTTGTCACAGTTACTACCTGATATGATACCAAATTCTAGTCATTGTCATTTCTGCTACATTATTCACTATTAAATCCTTTTAATGAGTAAAAAAACGTTATCTTCTAAAAAATTTATATTGATAATGCCAGTTCACATATTTCACTGATACTATCTCCTTTCTCCAATGCTAGAAGCTTTATTTCCAGTGGTAGTAACATAGTAACTCATTTGCTTTGTCTTGTATTTTGATTCCAGCTTTCTAAAAAAATTCCAACTTATTAAAAGTGTTACTATTTTTTTCTTAAATAGCCTTTTAAAATAGATGGCCTGTCCTGTTATTTTTTCCTTAAATTCTATTATTAAGTAGTTATACAAAGAGGTTACAATTTCATATGTGTCAGGTTATGAGTACAAGAGGACCGGTGAAGATTCCTTTTGTAAAAGTGTCAATATCACTGCATTCTGTGGCTATACATAGTGTATTTTGCCATTTGGGTTATTTCCTTTTTTTCTCTCTCTCTCATTCTAGTCCTACCCATTATTTCTAGAAACACTGTAAAAAATGTTTGTGTGTGTGTATGTGTGTATATGTAAGTGGTTGTATAAAAAAAGAAAAAGATGTGTGTGTGTGTATACACACACACGCTTAAAAGGCTGAACAAAGGGGTTTTAATTCCAGAAGTCAGGTTATGAGTGTAATGTATCTTGAACATTGTCACCTGTACATTTTTCCTTCATCTTTCTCCATTTCTTTCCTACTGTAAAGTTTTGTAGTTCAGTGTTTACAAAGTGTACATTATATATAAAAACTGTATTTGCTCACTCTTCTATATTTGTAGTCAAGTATTCTAATTTTCTATCAGCCTCTTGTATATCATCTTTTAAACATCCTGTATATGTATGTTCTTTAGTCTCTCTTTTTTTTTTTTTTTGGTTGGTCATGGGGCTTGAACTTTGGGCCTGGGCACTGTCCATCAGCTTTTCAGCTCAAAACTAGGACTCTACCACTTGAGCTACATCGCCACTTCCAGTTTTCTGGTGGTTAATTGGAGATAAGAGTCTCATGGACTTTTCTGCTATCCTCAAATCTTCAGCCTCCTGAGTAGCTAGGATTACACTCGTGAGCCACCAACACCAGGCTGTTTACTCTGTATCCTTGGTTTATTATTGCCTACTTTAATTCTTTTTCATATCTTAAACTGCAAAGTTTAACTTTTACCACCTTTTATGTTGTTTTATTAAATTCTACCTTTTTGCAGTTTTATTAGATTTATATAGTTAATAACATACTGTTTTATGTTTGCTCATTTATTTGCCTGTTCCATTATTCTTAATTGGCTCAATATCTTTTGTGGGAACCCTTACCGGAAGATTTGATGGTGTGCTTGACCTATGAATAATACCAGTGGGAATCCCTAGCTGTGTGATTGTTAAATCTTATGTGTGAGTAAAGGCATGGGATTATGAGTGTTTAACATCTTACTTAAATTAATTTTTTGACATAGTCTCTGTATGTACTTAGGAAGGAAAATCCTGGATCCCTTGTTGAAACTGCTTAAATCAGGTCAGGCAACAAGTTATCTCTAATTAACTACTAGAAAAACCAGAAGTGGAGTTGTGGCTCAGAAGTGGTAGAGTTCTAACCTTGAGCACAAAGAGCCTCAGGGATAGCACCAGGCCCTGAGTTCAAGTTCCACAACCAATCAAAAAACACGAATTGCTTAAGTGTTTCCTGATTTTTTTTTCTTTTTCTGTCATCTACCTCTTGGAATGTCTCCTTATGTTTATTTTTCTATAACTCCCTTAAACTTTGCTTGGACTAACTCAGACTTACAAAATGGAGATTGGGGACATTATCTTCAGTTTAAGCTCACTTCTTGCTCCTGATGGTAATTAGAATACTATTTTATAAACAGTATTTTGAGATACTCCTGGAAATCTTTTGGTGACAATCTTTTAAATAATTGTACATAGGGATTTCATTCAATTCAGTGTGTCAGTTTATTGGTACAATAAATCTTGATCAGTGTCTCCCCTTACATTATTATATCTTTGATTGTTCACTCCATCTAGCCTGTCTTTGTGATTCTGAGAACTTTATCTTGTTGCTCACTTTAAACACTTCCTACTGACAAGTTTTCAGTTGTTTTATTCTTCAATTCTAGATATTTCTTTGTAGCTTGCATTCTACTGATAACCCTTTGGTCCTTAATTCTTTGCTTATACTTTTAAAATTATTTTTAATTGTGCAAATGTGTATACATTTAATGTGCTAATCCGTTGTGCAATTTATATTCTAATTCTGTAGGAGTTGGTCTGTTTCTGTGATGTGCTTTTTTTATTATCAAAATCAAGCTGTTTTTCTTTTGTTTGTTTTTTGCTTCATTACATGGCAAACCTTTTATATAAAAGTACTGAAGAGGTTTCTCATGCCAGTGGTGTTTTCTTCTTTTTCTCTATGTAAACATAAAGATTCAGTAGTAGATTAGTTTATCTTTAGCCATGACTTGGAGCATACCTGACCAGAGTTGGAATTTTGTTGATTCATTCCATCCCTGGCTCAACCTTGACTCTGTCTGGTTCTCTCAAAATTTAGGTTGATACCAAGTTGGCAAATCTGTGTCCTCATCCTTGAGTAATGAAGCAGATTAAAACATGTGACAGACATCTAGTGTATGGTGTATAGTGACAGACATCTCTGTGCATATTTGAAGCAGCCCTTGCCTTTAACCTGTGACTACAGGATACTTTATTCTGTTTATTATAGAGTTTTATGCAAACCAGGCATGGTGGCTCACAACTGTAATTGTAACAATTCTGAAGGCTGAGATCAAAAGGATCATGGTTTGAAGCTTGTCTGTTAAAGGTTTACAAGACCCTATCACAACCAATAAACACCTGGGCATATTAGAAGACCATCACCCCAACTACATGGAAAATGTAAATAGGAGGATCACCAACCAGGACAAGAAACAAAAGCCCCATTAGAACAATAAAATAATAAAGGGCCTGGACATCTGGCTCAAACCCCTGAGATCAAACCATAGTACTGCAAAAAAGGAAAAAAAAAATTGCCCAGTTTCAGAACAGAGCAAATATCTGGTGACCACTTGAGTTCTATTAGTTTCTGTGACAGAAGTCAAAACTTAGTGGCCAAATCTGGCTGTCTCCATAGGTACATACATAATTTCATTTAAATGAAAGTAGTCTGTAAACTAAGAATGACTGTTAAATTTTTTAAGTGGATGAAAAGATGTTAAGAGTGGTATTTTGTAACAAAAACTAAACAAAGGTCAGATTTTAGTGTCCATAAAATTGCATTAGATTATAGTTTGCTCATATTGTCTATGGCTGCTTTTGCTTCTAGTATCATAGTTGATTAGCTGCAGTTAAAAGGCCAGATAACTTACAAAATTTCGAATAATTACTAATTTGTTTTTAATAGAAAATGGTTGCCTGTCAGTTCTAATTGGCAGTGGTGTTTGGTCTGTGACTCTTGAGATCTTTATATAGAAACTCTAAGATAAAAAATAATAATAGCAAGCCAGGTACTGGTGGCTCAAGACTGTAATCCTAGCTACTCAGGAAGTTGAGATCTGAGGATCGTGGTTCAAAGCATGATAAGGCAGGAAAGTCTGTGAGACTTTATTTCCAGTGAACTTCCAGAAAACTGGAAATGGAGCTGTGACTTAAAATGGTAGAGTGCTAGTAGCCTTGAGCAAAAGAGCTCAAGGACTGCACCCAGGTCCTGAGTTCAAGTTTCACAACTGAAAAAAAAGTAGTTACTGAGGGGTTGCTGGTGAAACTGCTGATACAAGAATCAAAGCAAGGGCTCCAAATTCTTAACTAATGGTCATTGAATTCAGTTCTATATTGAATATATTGATTTAGTTTTTCTTCTAGTAAAAATAATTCCAGTTTAGCTAAATAAGGCATGCCTTTTTAATAATCTTTTTGTCAAAATGGGGGGTGCATTTTATACTTTTCTCAAGTAACATACCACCATATATGGAAAATAGAAGTGTGTATTCAGCTGTCCCTCCCTCCCTCCCTTCTTTCTTCCTTGCCTTCCGTGCCTGCCTGCCTGCCTGCCTTCCTTCCTTCCTTTCTTTTTCTTCCTTTCTTTCTTTCTTTCTTTCTTTCTTTTCTTTCTTTCCTTTCTTTCTTTCTTTCCTTTTTTTCCTTTCTTTCCTTTCTTTCTTTCTGATTGATCCCAGGGCCCTTTACATGTTAGACAAGTAATTTAAGCTACATAGACAGCCGTTCCAAAATGGCTTTTATTACACCTAACATTAAGTTGCTTTATCAACATACTAATTTATTTTTTTCTTTGAAAATAGGGTCTCTTTTTCCCAAAAATAAATTTATGTGTATTAATATGTAATGAATAAATTGAGTTGATATTTTAATTTCAAACATTTAAAAATATCAATAGATTTAACCCATGTAATAAAAAATGATTTGGGGTTCCTCATGAATTTTTTTTTTCCTTTCCAGTGCTGGGGATTGAATCCAGGGTCTCGCACATGCTAGGCAAGTGCTGTACCACTGATCTACACCCCTACCCTGCCATTAATTTTTACAAGTATAAAAAAAGGTTCTAAATGTAACATGTACTGATCAAAGACATGGATTTCTTCACATATCAGGGGATAATGTATATTACTATGATTTTGGCTTTTTCTTACTTTCAATTGGCAGAAATTCTTTTTAGGATGTTCCAGAGTATAGGTTATGATCTTTATCTTGTTAGAGAGATTCATATACTTGGAATTGCCAAGCTTAATGTTTATTAATAGTCCTTTGCTGGCATATATTTTTTCTTTTTAGGTGATTGTTCTTTTAAGATGTGGTATGGACAGTTTAATCCTTTTAAGATGAATTTAAAGACAAATTTTGTTTATTTTTAGTTCTTACTAGTTACTCTCCCTCTTAATATTTCTGCATTGTTTAAATATAAGAATGATGTCATTGGTCTAAAATTGATATAACTTAAGTTTATAATTTAAATCTGGTATTTGAGTTGAATGTGATTTGTACTGTTTTGGAAGGGTCTTTTAATTACTCTAAAGGATAAATAGCTCATTGTGTGGCTCAAGTGGTAGGGAGTCTACCTAGAAAGCAAAAGGCCCTGAGTTAAAAACTTATACTGCCAAAGATGTTTGTTCAATGTTCCAATAGAAAAGGCAGCAATAATTATGGAATTCATTAATTATGATCTTCTCTAATTGAATACAAGATTATTTCCAAGGTATCATGTTACCTATGTAAGAGTATCCCCTTAAAAAGATCAATGAAGCTTAATTACAGTGAAAAACTTTGCTTTTCATATCAATAATACATTGGCTGAAATTGTTTCCAAACATATATCCAACTATTATGCATTTTAATACTTAATACTATTGAATTAGACCAACTGGATATACAAAAAATAATTTGAAAAGATAGCTTGAAAGTGACATCTTATACAGATTTGATGAATATTGTTAACAGTGAAAAATGAAAACATCTGTAGACTTCATTTATTTGTTGAGAGTGCTGAGTATTGAATTCAGGGTCTCATACATTCTAGGCAAGTGCTCTGAGTTTATATCAGTAGCTCTACACTTTGGGGTTTTTTTTGTGCTTTCTTCAGCTTAATGACAACGTCTCTGTAGAAGTGATCAGTGTTTTCTTGTTGTATAATGGAACTGAGTCTTTAGAAACAGTCACCTGTCTACATGAAATGAAAAGAGATTTAAAAACTGTTTACTGTTTTTACAGAACACTTCATTATTTTCACCTGTTTTGTTAGGTGCATTGATTGTTCATTTGTCCCTACTTCTTTCTCCTTTTCTAGTACTTGGATCCCATTTATTTTGATGTATATATTTAGTGAAAAATAACATTTCCTTTGAAATTGTTTAATAGGTTTGTTCTTACAAAAAGCTCTTTTATTCCTTATGTACATTCATTAAAAGTAGGTATTTCCATATTAGTCTTATAGGTAATTTTTGGTTTTGCTGTGAAAAATCAATCAGGTTCTCAACTGAAATGGTTTAGATATATACTGAGATGAGGTTAAGACAGAGTTGATCCAACTACTCTGATTTTGCTTTGAATATGTCACTAGCATGCCTTGACTAGCATAGAACCTACTCTTTGAGTTCTGTCTTATACCAAGCAATATTTTAAAAAAAAATACTGATTTTTTTATTCTGAAGGTTCAAAGGCCCAGCAGCTTCTGCAAGGACTACAAGCCAGTGATGAAAGTCAGCAGCTTCAAGCAGTCATTGAAATGTGTCAGCTATTAGTCATGGGAAATGAGGAGACGCTAGGAGGTTTTCCGGTCAAGAGTGTTGTTCCAGCTTTGGTAAGTATATGATTTTCCTGTCATTTTTCTTTTTTTATGTTGTCCAAGGGTTAGAACTCAGGTCTTGAGTTCTGTTCCTGAGCATTTTGGCTCATGGCTAATAATCGTGAGCACAGCTAATATTCTTAAGTCTGGCTCTTTGGTTCTTAATTGGAGATAAGGGTTTCATGGACTTTGTTTGCCTCCTGGGTAGCTAGAATTTACAGGCATGAGCCACTAGTGGTGGACATTATTGTTGTTCTTTGAAGGCTGTTGAAATATATTAGATGTATGAATATTTTTATGAATTCTCAGACACCTTAGAATTAAAAGGTGAATATATACCTAGTGTTGTCATTTCATTTATATCAAAGCATGATGTAAAAAAATTAGTAAGAACTAAGAGAATTAAAATGAGTGTTTGGCTTGGTGTCTTTATTTTATCCTTATAGATACTGTAACTGCTATTGATTGTAACTGCTAGTAATATTTTCTTGTAGTACTAGATATTTCTAAACATTTTCTATTGTGTAATTTTGTATTTAGTTCTATCAAGATGCCTTTAGAGATGATTTTGATAATGCAGGGGCTAGAACCCAATGGCTCTTTTCTAGCAAGAACTCTTAGCACATCAGCTACGTCCCCAGCTGGAGTTAATAAATTTTATATATTTTTATGTATATCATTTGAATTTTGATACTTAACAGTTTTAAATTCTAAGTTGTTCAGCCTATTAGTACTACTCTGATTCTCTTAGTGTGTAAAATGTTTAAGCTGTATCTGTTAATCAACAACCTTTTCAGGCAGTAGTCTCAAGAAATTCACATTGGGTTATGTTTATGTTTGTGAAAGGTTTCATGTTTGGCACATATGTATGGGAAAAGTAGTCATATAGTCATACCCATATACCATGTGGTCAATTCCAGTTTTAAAGGCTTTATGTTAAGAGAGAAACCAATTTTTTAAATGGCCTTTCAACACAATTTTGTGTTGATACTTTGGATATTTAAGATCTATTGACATAATAAATATAAATTTCTAAGGTAAAAACAAAAGTTGCCATTACTAAATGTATTTTTAAATAGTGACTTGATAATTTTCCAACATTATTAAATTAGGTATAATTTAAGATTAAAATTTAAGTCTGGATTAAATGCTAATATATCATTACATTTAGTATGTATTTATCTTAGAAATTAAATATTGTCTGTTTTGTATGCCAAATAAAGAAATTTTTATTCATACATGAGATGTTATTCAATCACATCTGGTAATGGAGAGTTGATTTTTGAGAAGAGAGCCCAGCAGAAAGACTTAAAAACAAATATGAGACACAATCATTATGTTGTCTGTTCTTTTTGGATTGCTTGGCTCTCTCAGAGGTTGATCAAGCATTTCTTCTTACCTTTCTGCCACTTGGATTTCTAGATAATGAAAGCCAGTTCTCAAATCTTACCAGTTCTGTTCTAGTAAAATGCTTGTATGTAGCTTTCTGAATTAGTCTTTGTACTGTTGTATTTTGCCTGTGTTAATATCCATTCTCAGATTGTTGATACGATCAATAGCTGGCATCCACAATCTGAATTAAATTTTACTTTCATTGCTTTTTGTTTACTAAAAAGCGATGTTGTCAAAATGCTGTTTTATTAGATTATTAAAGGTAGTTGGAAATGTTGGCACATAATTTGCTTACTTGATTTTTGTTCATTAAATTGAAGTAGAAAAAATTTGTATAGTCAAATGAAGATTTTGGGGGGTAAATGGATCTATTTTGGTCCTTTCCGAATATGGTCTTAGAAGATGCATTAAAGCTAGGGGCTGATGCTAACACCTGAAATCCTAGTTACTCAGAGGGCTGAGATTTGAGAATTACAGTTTGAAGCCTTTCTGGGCAGTAAGGTCCATGAGACTCTTAGGTTAAATAGCAAAAAGCTAAAGTAGAACTTTGGCTAGATGTGGTAGAGTTCTATCGTTGAGTTAAAAGGGTAAAAGACAGCAACTAGGCCCTGAATTCAAACCCTAGTTCCAACTAACACACACACCTGTACATATGCACATTCCTCTTGCGCACCCCCATCCCCAAAAAAGGGTTCATTCAGTCTTGTAATTTGGGAACCTAACCAATTTTTTGCTAATGTGACAACTTTGAAATTTAGACTAAACGTTTTAAGTGGGTATTGTAGCTAATTAACACACCTGAGTGCTGCTTATTCCTGAGGTGGAGTTTGTGTGTGTTTTCTGTTTAAAACAAAGATGGTCTTTGTGGACTTCTGGACTTCAGACCTGAGAAAAGAAGTATTGTATTAGAATAGCTGATATTTTACTATAGTCAGACATTTACCTGGAAGTTGCTTAACTGTTTAAATTCAGTGCATCTAAGTTTTTCTGTGAATTAAATAATGATGAATATTGTCTTTCCCTAAGGAGGAAATTCATTTGCTTCAATAGGGCAATTAGTATATGCTGCTAGCAGTTTTGTATTCACTCACTTGAAAAATAATGGCTGAAATCTACCTAACGCCTTTTCTACAAGAAAAGGTATTAAGTCGGGATTTAGATTCATCTATTCATATATTGAAATTTTATATTAAGCTGGCTTTTATTTAATGAATAATTGTTTTTTGATTTTATTGATCTCATGTTCACATTACTAGGTGCTTTGCAGCTTAGTTAAATGATGTTTATAGATTGGAAGGTGTTGTCCATATGTTTGTTAATTGTGGTCCTATACCTGTACTGACAGTTGTTAATTCAGCAAATAATAACGTATTTCTGGTCCTATTAATTTATATGTTGAATATTTGCTGGCACTTGTAAGTCCTCAGTGATAACACTAATTGGGATTCTCAGTAGAAGTTAGGACTACCAAAATGTCTGGTTGTAAGCATTGTGATGGGTTTCGTTTTGACTTAGGTTTATAAGGTGATTAATAATCTAGCAATACATAGAGCTAAGTTAGAGCTACTGCATACAATGAATGCCAGTCTAAGTATAATCATTTCTTTTGTATGTTTGCTAGGTTTTTGTCTTAATTTTATTTTTGTGTGGTACACAAATCTTACCTAATATTATCCAATATCTCAGTTTAAGTGGAACAATAATTATAGAACTTTTCATTCAAAGTGTATAGCCTCTAATACTTTGTTATGTTTTTAACAGATAACATTACTGCAAATGGAGCATAATTTTGATATTGTAAGTATACACTATATTTCAAAACACTGAAATTTTAGTTTTGAGCTTTTATTGAGAAAAAATATCTTTGTTTCCTAGATGAACCATGCCTGCCGAGCTTTAACATACATGATGGAAGCACTTCCTCGATCATCTGCTGTTGTAGTAGATGCTATTCCAGTCTTTTTAGAAAAGGTAGACTTGCTTTTGTCTAATTCTTTAGAAATACACGTGTTGGATCAAGATTTGAACTTACTGATACCAGTTGTGATTATCTTAACTGGGGCATATTTTTAGCTCACAATTCCTGAAGGGCATATTTTGCATTCATTAGACCAGTAGTTTAAAGTTGAAGCTAATAAATCTCTTATGAAATCTGTGTTTTTGTACGATATTAACACTTCAGAGAACAACTTAAAGACTTGGTTTAAAATGTAATTTCTAGAAATATTAGTGATGTTTACAGCTATTAATCCTTTTTGACTGCCAGCTGAAAAAGTTGAAACAAAGTACCTTGACCAAGATTGTAAAATTGAGTCAGTGGCAAAGGAAAATGTAAAACATAGTTTGTGGTAAATGTGGCTTTGGTCTTTTTGTGGACCTTTTTTATTTTTGGTATACTGTTGTAAAACTTTCTTTGTTTATTTTGTCGGTTGTGGGGCTTGAACTCTGGGCTTGGGTGCTGTCCTTGAGCTATTCAGCTCAAGGCAAGCGCCCTACCACTTGAACCACAGCCCCACTTCCAGTTTTCTAGTGGTTTATTGGAGATAAGAGTCTCATGGACTTTCCTGCCCGTGCTGGCTTTGAACCGCTATCCTCAGATCTCAGCCTCCTGAGTAGCTAGGATTACAGGCATGAGCCACCAGCACCCCACAACTTAGTTTATTTGATGAATATGAAATAGAAGACTTAAAACCAAATTGATTTTTTTCTTTTGGTGGTACTATATTAAACTCAGCACCATTGTTCAGGCAGGTGTTTACCACTCAGGCCACGTCCCTAGCCTTTTTTTTTTTTTAAAGTTATAGATCTTACTAACTTTGCCTGGAGTATGACCTCAGACTCTCAATTCTGCCTCTCCTCTTACCTCTGCAACCAGGTAGCTTAAATTAACAGTCTTGTGCCTCTATGTCTAAAACAAATCATCTATCTAGGCACCAGTAGCATACTTTTAATTCTAGCTACTGAGGCAGCTGAGGTCTGCAAGATCCCACCTAGACTTAACTAGCCAGAAAGTTGGAATGGAGGCATTACGGAAGTTGTAGAGTCCCAGCTGTGAGTGAGACAGCTGACTGAGTGTGAGAGGCTAAATTCAAGATAAAGTACTAGCTCCCCCTTCCCCCAGAAAAGAAAGAAAAGAACTCCTCTATTAAATCTTCATAGAAAAGATAAAGCACCTGAACTTATATCTTAACCTTCAGTCACCTATTTATGTTCCTAGCTGCAAGTTATTCAGTGCATTGATGTGGCAGAGCAGGCCTTGACTGCCTTGGAGATGTTGTCACGGAGACACAGTAAAGCTATTCTACAGGCAGTAAGTATTGTTATTGTAGGACTATAATTCATTTACTGTCAGATTTCAGATTCTACATAATTCTTTTTATTATTTGTAATCTCCCTAAGATTCACATGTCAACAAAGTGATGTGCTAGCACTCTACCAATATGAGCCATAGCTTCACTTCCAGCTTTTTTGATGTTTGGACATAAGAATCTCACAGACTTTCCTATGCATGCTAGTTTTGCACTGTGATCCTCTGATTTCAGTCTCCTGAGTAGGCTAGAATTTACTGGCATAATGGTATCTGGCTTTGTTTTGCTTTTTTTGTATGTATACTGGTACTTGGGCTTGAACCTTATGGCCTCTCTTGCTCAGGTTTTTTATTCCTGCTGGCAATCTACCAGTTGCGCCATACTTACAGTCCTGGTCTTTGCTACTTTCCTGGAAATCTGCTTCTTTTCAAATTTATCTTCTGAAGCTGGCTTCCTATCTCAGCCTCCTGAGATTTGCTAAGATTACAGTCATGAGCCACTAGCACTGCACTGCAGCTTTGATTTATATTGTTGATAAAGTATTTTCCATCACCTTAATAAAAGGTTTCCTGTATTTCAGGGTGGTTTGGCAGACTGTTTGCTGTATCTTGAATTCTTCAGCATAAATGCCCAAAGAAATGCATTAGCAATTGCAGCCAATTGTTGCCAGAGTATCACACCAGATGAATTTCATTTTGTGGCAGATTCCCTTCCATTGCTTACTCAAAGGCTGACACACCAGGTAAAGTATGAAGCTATTTTATATTGTAAGAAAAAAGTTGATTGGGAAGTGGCGTTGTGGCTCAAGTGGTAGAGCACTTGCCTTGAGCTGAAGAGTTGAGGGACAGCGTCCACGCCCAGAGTTCAAGCCCCACGACCAAAAAAAAAAGTTTATTGTGGTAATTTCAGCTAGGGTCCTAAATAAAACTGGGGGTATTATCTGATCATAATACCATATTGTTATTTTAAAATACTGTCTTAGGTATTAAAATTTTGGATTTGACCAAATGAACAGTAATTTACATACTTGGAATCTTTAGTTATTTTAACATAAAGGATAAATTTGTTACCAGAGCATGAGTTTTTACTGTATGATTTGATCAGAATCCCTTTTTGGAATGCTTATTCTTCCTTGAAGACTTGTTACCTTACCTTCACCCAGGCTGGCTTTGGTTCGTGATCTTCAGATTTCAGTTTTCTAGTATTATAGGCTTGAGATACCAGCACCTGACATTAAGTTAATTTTATACCAAATCTTTAAAAAAAATTTTTGTGGTACTGTTTTAGATTATTTGTGTAGTGGTACTTATTTTGACATTAATGCCACCAGCCTTTGGATCCCAAAATTTATGGCTATTCATGTCCCTGTCCACCTGGCTGATTCACATATTAACTACTTCTACTTTTTAAATACAAAAATATTTAAACATTTCTATTTGGAATATTGAATTTATTAACATACATTAGTTTACAAGGGTTAGTTTCATTGTGATATTTCCACACATGTACAAATATATACATGGAATATTTTTAAGGGAAAGTAGAATTTTCTTTAGTATAATTTAAGTATTCTTAAGTATAACTTGCTTAATATTCCTTTTTTCTTTTTATTTGCCTTTTATTAGGGAGTTAATGGAGAAGGAAGCTTGCTTCCAGTATGATTCTTTGCCTTGAAATCTGTTACTTGACTGTATTATATCTAGATTCAATTTTATTTTCAAAGCTCATATTTACTAATTGAGGTTGTGTTAAAGAATTTGCAGTTAAGAAGAACATAATTGTGATATTTGCTAGTAGAATTGCTTTATATTTAATAAATTTCCTTTTTCTTGAAATATAGGACAAAAAGTCAGTTGAAAGCACTTGCCTTTGTTTTGCACGTCTAGTAGACAACTTTCAACATGAGGAAGTAAGTGTTTTATCTATATTTTACAAAAGCTGTTGAATTGCTAAATCACAACATAACTATTTCTTTTTCTTGTATTCATGAAGAACTTGCTACAGCAGGTTGCCTCCAAAGATCTGCTTACAAATGTTCAACAACTGTTAGTAGTGACTCCACCGATCTTAAGTTCTGGGATGTTTATAATGGTTGTTCGGATGTTTTCTCTGATGTGTTCCAACTGTCCAACACTAGCTGTTCAACTAATGAAGCAAAGTAAGTGCTATTTTACTATTGTATTTTAAGCAGGAAAAGTGACTTACTTTTGAGGAATAAGTCAACATAAGCAAGTAGAAATCTGCATGTTCTCGGGTTAAAAAGAAAAATGTTAGATTAGGTATGTAGCTCTGTGGTAGAGGCTTACCTAACATACATGAAGTCCTGTTTGTGAACCCAACCACTGGGGGAAAAATTCAAATGTAATGTATTTGTGTTGGAACAGTATATTAATATTTCTAATATTCAGTTATTTATGCAATTCTATGGCTCATGACTCAGGATCGTTGATTTCCATATAGTGTTATGTAATGATTCTCATTACAGTCACTAACAGATACTATAATTCTTTCTGGAATTTGGTCAATTTCTAGAACCTTTGCTGCCTTAACAAAGGTTGAAATTATATATACTTAAAAATGTCTCTGATACTTGCATTCCAATTGCATTTGATCATTTCACATAAGAAATTAGGACTACAAATTTTGTAAATTGAGCTCAGATGATGGTAGAACTTCAAAAAAGATCTGTTTTGATTATTTTAATCACTTTGTGAATTTGTATACCTTGTGCATATGTATAATTTTAGAAATACACATATACCATAAGCAGCAAGAGTGAGAGCTTCAGTCTTCAGGTTTCAGCATTAGAATGCCTAAACCTGTGGAGACTAGGAGCTCCCTCCACTCATAGTGTCAATGCATTTGAATTGTTTCATGAAGATTACTTTGGAAATAGATGCCCTCTGGGAATGGAAACTTATGTATAGAATATTGTAAAAATGTTCCTATTAGGTTGACATGTAACCATTGTCATGTAAACCTGGAAAGTTCCAGATGCTTTCAAGGGATGCATTGTCCAGTTGTCCCTACATTTTCATTGTATCTGAATGGAAGACAAGTATAGAAATATACTGGAATGGCAGCATGTGGAATGTGCTTTTGTATGAAAGTATTGTGCTCCTCAAGGAAAGTAATGAAAGATTCTTGGGCTCTAATGGGTGAGATGGAAGTGATCATGATTTTTCTTTTTTTGTTTTTGTTTTGGTTGGTACTGAGTTGATACTCATCCTCATGTTCACTGGCTTGCTTATCCCAGTCCCTACCACTTGAGTCATACCTCCAATCCTGCTTTTTTTGCTGGCTATTTTGCATGTATACATGTGTGCTGGTCCTAGGACTTGAACTCAGGGCCTGGGTATTGTCCCTAAGCATTTTTGCTCAAGGCTACCACTCTACCAATTGAAAAACAGCTTTACTTCATCTTTTTTTTGGTAGTTATTGGAGATGAGAGCCTCACCACCTTTCTTCAATCATGATTTTCAGAACTTACCCTCCTGAGTTGTTAGGATTTACAGGTGTGAGCCATAGGTACCCAGCTCTCCTTAGGTTTTTATTACTACTAATTTGGATATTTTACTTTAATTTCCATATTATGTTGTCTTACAAGAGAATAATTTTAATAACTTAATTCTAGGGAACTGTTTCCTCTTGAATTAGGCACTACAAACTAGCCTAATGGGCTTTTGGGTTTTTTGTTGTTGACTTTACAGACATTGCAGAAACACTTCACTTCCTCCTCTGTGGTGCCTCCAATGGAAGTTGTCAGGAGCAGATTGATCTTGTTCCACGAAGTCCTCAAGAGCTATATGAACTGACATCTTTGATTTGGTAAGAATAGTAACTGTTTTGAGATCACTTTGGAGATTTAATATTTAATGGCCAGAACTTATTAAAAGCATTACACTTTTGTTTTCAGTGAACTTATGCCATGTTTACCAAAAGAAGGCATTTTTGCGGTTGATACCATGTTGAAGAAAGGAAATGCACAAAACACAGATGGTGCAATATGGCAGTGGCGTGATGATCGGGGCCTCTGGCATCCTTACAATAGGATTGACAGCCGGATCATTGAGGTAGTAGTTTCATTGTACCACTTAAATATGTTTATTTGGATGGAGAGCTAGTATAGGCAGGGATGGAATGGGGAGGTGGATGTGTGTATTTCAGTGTGCTCATTTTTTAAATTAACTCAAGATTTTCTCATTTTGTCTCCTGAGAACAAGGTTCTCATTTCTGTTCAGGTCAGAAAACATGATGTTCTAGTCCTGCTTCTGCTGCTAACTACCTGATTGACTTAGAGCAAGTAATTTAAGATCTTTGTTCTATGGTTTCCTCATTCCGGAAAGGAAACTAGAGGAATTTGGCTGTCTTCTTCTAAAACATACCAATCTTAATCTTAGTTGAAAAGAATCTCCCAAAAAGCAGTTATATACATATTAGTAAGAGTAAAAGCATGAAGTCAAATAACAGCCGTGCACGGGTGAATGATAAATTTCAATTTATAAATAGGTTTGATTATAATTTATTTAAATATAATTATTATTAAATTACGGTACAGAGGGATTACTATTTTATAAGTTAGGTAATGAGTTCAATTCTTTTGGACAATGTTAGCCCTTCCTTTCCTTTGCCCTCGTTTCCTCTATAATTTATTTTTTAATGGGATACGTCTTTTTATTTTTTGTTGTTTTGTTGTTATAAAGGTGATGTACAGAGGGATTACTGTCTCATAAGTCAGGTAATGAGTACATTTCTTTTTAAGCAATGTCACCACTTCCCTTACCCAGTTTTTCCTTTGCATCCCCACCTACAAGTTATATAGTTCATCTTCCACATAGTATCTACTGAGTACCACTGCTGCATTTTTTTCACCTTTTGTCCCTCCATTTCTGTGTCCCTCCCCACCAAAGACAGATAAACATAAAGGGGGGGGAGCCCAAGGGAAAACAAAAAAAAAAGCAAAAACAGACAATGCCATCTTCACCCACAACAGTGAAATGAAAACCACTTGTAGAAACATAGATTAATCTTTTGGGAATTTGATAAAATAAGAGAAAAGGTCAGTTAAACAAAATGAACAACTATTCAGCCTAAACTTAAGAGCGTGTGGAGTTACTTGGGATCCTATACCTCATTTGCTATTGTTTTCAATGCATAAAATACCTATAAATCACAAATGTATTTTCTAATTTCATCCTTTGGTAATATCTTTGAAACAATGTTGTATATATTATTCATAGTAGCTTCTTTTCCACATTTTTCATTTTTATATTCCTTGGATGTTTTAATTTTCTTTTTTTTTGTGTGTGTGTGTCCGGTCGTGGGGCCTGAACTCTGGGCCTGGGCGCTGTCTCTCAGCTCTTCAGCTCAAGGCTAGCGCTCTACCACTTGAGCCACTGCGCCACTTCCGGATTTTTTTTTTTTTTTTGCTTATGTGGTGCTGAAGAATCGAACCCAGGGCCTCATGCATGCAAGGCAAGCGCTCTCCCACTGAACCACCTTCCCAGCCCGGATGTTTTAATTTTCTTAGAACATCAGTCCTTATATTACCTTTCTTTTTTACCTCACCCTTCCCTGTTTTTGTTTTGTTTGTTCTTTTTTTTTTTTTTTGTGCCAATCCTGGGGCTTGAACTCAGGGCCTGGGCACTATCCCTGAGTTTTTGTGTTAGCAGTCTACCACTTGAACAAACCCACAGCTCTACTTCTGGTTCCTGCCCAGGCTGCCTTCAAACTGTGATCCTCAGGTCTCAACCTCCTGAGTAGCTAGGATTACAGGAAAGAGCCACCAATGCCCAGTCATTCTTTAATAAAGCTGTAAAAAAATATTTTTAAGCTAATGACATTATTCTAAAATTCAGGTTCTTATGAGGAAGTCTTAATTTCAGGACCACCTTGCTTTTATGAGGAAGTTAACTTTTCATATGCATTTTTTATTCTATGATATATATATATATATATGCTTATAGCCTTATGTTTACTCTAGTTATTTATGTTTATTTTTTTATTTTATCACTTATTTTATTGACTATTAGGATACATATAGCATTTATTACATTGATGACATTGTCATAGGACAATGACACCCTACCTGAGATCTAGGACTTTCACAGAGAAGGAAAACATGTGTGATAATTGGCCTCTTACTCCACGATGACCTTTTTGGCCATACTGGAATTTGAACTCACAGCCTAGAAGGCCCAATTTATGAATGGGTTGGCGTGTGTTAGTACACCTGACTCTGGAAATGGAAGCTTCCAGGTGGTTCCTAGGACCAGAGATCAAGCCCCAGCGGTGGCCAAAATAGAAATAGATGCATATGCAGCTTGTAGTATACAAATTATTTTTTTAGAGAGGGCTAGAGATGTCTAGGTTATTAAATTATATATACTATGTGACTCCCAGTTCTTAGGTATTTCATTATGCCCCCAGGAAGTTAACTCTTGACTAGTCTTTTGTTCATTGTTAGCCTTAGTATATTAAGTATAGATCATAGCTGCTAATGGTCTTAATCTCCAACTCTACTTGATTTTCTTGTTTGTTTGTAATTTTCCAGGTAATTCTTTACTGTTAGCTTATGCTTTGTATTTCCTGAGAGATTTACATTCAGCTTAGGAGTTTCAGTGCAAATTGGCCTGTGTAATAAAAATGAATATTCTCTAGCAAGCATAACACCCTGAGTTCTATTTTCAGTTACCTCTCCCTTCCCTCCCCAAAATTATTTTGTGACCTTTTCTTTTAAACAAAGCACTCTTTTATTAGATAGCTAACTTGGAACTTATAGTCCTTCTGCCTGGGCTCCTGAGAGCTATAATTCTTAGGCATGCCCCACCATACCTGCCATAACTCCATGACTTCTCTAGGTTCTGAAATCAGGCAGTGTAATGTCTGCTTTTACACCTTGATGATTAGTCTTAGTTTAGTTTTGTTCCATATAATTAGAATAACATTTAAATATCTTTGTCTAGGTAAAGGCAGTTTTACATATCATTTTGTTTATAGGAATATCTTCGCCAATACTAGGAATATGTCATGTAAATAATGTCTCTAAGCATTAAAATACTTAAGACTATGGCTAACAATTGTTTTTTTCCTCTCAGCAATGTCTTTAAAAGTGCCTTAAATAAGATAAATGGTGTCTTCATGACAGTTAACGCTACGTGACTGGGTATTTCCTAAGAATTTTACTTGTATTTTTTTCTAAGGGTGCCTGGTAGGGTCTGAGGTACATAATCTTTGTTTAGGTGAAAATTGTTTCTTGAATTACTGAGTTTTTACATAGAGTATTTAGGATAGAATGTGTAGAGGGTCCCCAGTGTGTCTTAAGGTAATGAATTTCTCCCATGTTTATATTCAAGGTTTCTCTCTTCTTTGCTCTCAGGCAGCCCATCAGGTCGGTGAGGATGAGATAAGCTTGTCCACTCTGGGACGAGTTTATACTATTGATTTTAATTCTATGCAGCAAATCAATGAGGACACGGGGACAGCACGTGCCATTCAGAGAAAACCTAACCCCTTAGCCAATACTAACACTAGTAAGTATCTTTTGAGTTAAATAGAACTCTACTATTGTAATATTTTTATTTTCATTATCATAATTGGTTCATTGCATATGCTTAGGAAGTTGAAGTAATTGCATAACACTAATTTGTGTTTTTCAAATTATTTGCATTAATTCATATATGATGTGTCCCTGCCAAGATAAAGTGCTTAAAGTGATGTCCAGTTAGAACTGGCAGTGTAGGTGATGATTTATTTATATGTCCTTGCTCTATTTTGTATCCATCCACTAGATTAGTTCTTTCCAACTGTTTTCTTCAACTTACTTGTATTTTTGGTGGTATTAGAGTTTGAACATAGGGCTTCACACTTTCTCTACCATTTTACCATACCTTATCCCTGCTTTTGACTGGTTATTTTGGACATAGGGTAATGGACTTTTCTGCCTGGGTTGGCCTTGAACTATATTCTTTCTAAGGAACCAGATAGATAAGTAATACAGCTTTGTAGATCTTTTTTTTTGGTGATCATGGGGCCTTGAACTCTGGGCCTCAGCTGTCCTTGAGCTCTTCAGCTCTAAGGCTAGTGCTCTACCACTTAAGTCACAGTACCACTTCTGGCTTTTTTTTTTTTTTTCCTGCTTATGTGGTACTAAGGAATCGAACACAGGGCCTCATGCATGCCCCAGCTTTGTAAATCTTATATTTCTTTATGTCTCATGATCACTGAAGTTTGCATCTGCATACACCCTGTAAACAAATACACAAGACTACATTTCCAATTTATTTAGAAAATCAAATAGTAGAGTAGATTGAGTTTATGTACTTTGATATTGCTAACTCTGATATAGATGTCATCAGTTACCATTCAGTACACATACACACTTGAGCAAAGTTTAACCCTTTAGCCTACCTTTTAGAAATACTGTCCACTTACTGAAATCTTCCTGCTTCTGTTTGTTTATTAGGTCTTATTTCTGAGGTTTAAGCAACACAGTAGCTCTTTTTGCTTTAGTTATTTTCATATAGGGTCTTGTGTTCCCACCTTCCCCACTTTATTATGTGGAGGCCTCTGTGTGTCTGTAATTAAAGGCATATGCCATCACTTTCTGCTTGTTCTTTGGAATAGGATATTTTTAACTTGCTTGATGCGTTATTTCGTATTATTCCTCCTATTTCTGCCTCTCACAGAGCTGGGATTATAGGCATGAACCCCTGTGTTTGGCTGAAACTGTGTGTGCGTGTGCGTGTGTGTGATGGGACCTGAACCCTGGGCCTAGGCACTGTCCCTCAGCTCTTCAGCTCAAGGCTAGTGTTCTACCACTTAAGCCACAGTGCCACTTGGAGCATTTTCTGCTTATGCAGTGCTGAGGAGTGGAACTCAGCCCTCATACATGCAAGGCAAGCAGTCTACCACTGAGCTACCTTCCCAGCCCTCTGCTTGTTTCTTAACAGTATTTTTGTTAGTCTTGAAATTTGCCTAGTATATATTAGTAAAATGAAGAGGGTATAGTCAGCACAGTGATACCTTGTTATTTCAGCTGACCAGAGAATATCTAGAGTTTTCTATTTTGTCTTAATGTTTGTCCTTTATTTATAGAGTAGCTATTATAGATTTAGTAGTATTTGGAATAATTTTATTGACCTGGTTACTTTATTTTTTTAATAGCTTGTTTCTGAAGTCTGTTACTTTGGTATTGTACTTTTTTTTTTTAAGGTGGATATTCAGAGTTAAAGAAGGATGATGCTCGAGCACAGCTTATGAAAGAGGATCCGGAACTGGCTAAGTCTTTTATCAAGACATTGTTTGGTGTTCTTTATGAAGTATATAGTTCCTCAGCAGGACCTGCAGTCAGACATAAGTGCCTTAGAGCAATTCTTAGGATAATTTATTTTGCGGATGCCGAGCTTCTGAAGGATGTTCTAAAAAATCATGCTGTTTCAAGGTATGTTGATGAAAACACTAAAAGCACTTTACAAGTTAAAGTTTCTGAAGTTATTTATTGAAAGTAGTATGGCCAAAAATAATGACCAAATTTTGTCCAAGTTTTAAATACAAATGCTTTCTTTTTTTAGTCACATTGCATCCATGCTATCAAGTCAAGACCTGAAGATAGTAGTTGGAGCACTTCAGATGGCAGAAATCTTAATGCAGAAGTTACCTGATATTTTTAGTGTTTACTTCAGAAGAGAAGGTAATGTTATTCATGAAAATAAGTTAATGTTCACTTTTTCCGATACTACCTCAATACGAAAAATTTTCATCAGAATGAAAACTGTTTTCTTTTCAGTACAAGATACTTACATGCCATAATAGCTTGTAGCGATTTTTTATAAAATATGTGTGTAAATACATAATTGTTTGAGATTCACATGTCAACCAGTAAATACTAGTCAGTGACATTTCCATATACCCTCAATTCCAGAAGCAATCATACTTTTAAAGTATAGCTAATTTATGTTCATCTAGAAAGATTTCCTCAGAAAATAAGATGCTACTTTGTTTCCCTCACATATTTTTATAACATAAATGTAAAGATTGGTATGAGTTCTGTCCTCCTAATTCGGCTCCAGTAATACTGTATTGTCTTTTATAAGCATATGAGTTTTTATTGTAATTTCTTGAAAAAAAAATGTATCCTTTTAGTCAAGGTGCTAATGTGGTCTGGCATAAAATTATAATAAGCAGTAAGTATGGAATAAATTGTGACTGCTGAAAGATATGATGGAAACTAGATTCTTCAACAGATCAATTTGATTATATGCACATTCACTCATATAAATTCATATTGTTGACACACAAACTTAGATATGTATCCTGCCACTATCCTAGTCCAGATAGGAACACCCTGTCTCACAGGTTACAGTTTTGCTCTATTTATTCACCTTCAATAGTGTTTGTTAGTAGCTGTCAGTATGACAGTATGTGATTTTGTCTCCTTTAGTCCTATTAGGTCTTTTCCCCTATGCTGGCTGTCACCAGGTGCACTGGATTTCTGAAATTCATTCTTACTTATATAATGGATATTTTGAATTTTAGGTTTTTATATGATCTATTTCTGAAGATTATAATATATTCAAATTTTCTTATTTTTCTAGCTTTGTCGTCTATACTTCCATCCTTATTTGGTAGCTTTTTTTCAAACAGTTCTCTTCATATCAGTGTTTTAACATTCAGGGATTTTATAATGGTGGGTAAGTAGTTTTACCTCTTGATTAAAATTGACTCCTTTTCATCCTTGTAATTATAAAGGTGTAATGCATCAAGTAAAACATTTAGCAGAGTCAGAGTCTTTGTTGACAAGTCCACCAAAGGCATGTACGAATGGGTCAGGATCCTTGGGGTCTACTACGTCCGTGAGCAGTGGGACAGCCACAGCCGCCACCAATGCTGCAGCTGATCTGGGCTCACCTAGCTTGCAGCACAGCAGAGATGATTCTTTGGACCTGAGTCCTCAAGGGTGAGTCATAGTTCTTATGTTCTTTGTATTTAGCTTTGCTTTGGTACCCAAGACTCGTATAGACCAATGTTGTTAAACTGAAGAAATGTGGGAAAGGGAAAGTCAGTATTGCGGATTGAATTCAGGCCCTTTGCACATTCTAGGGAAGTGCTTCTACCTCTGCACTATTATTGCCCAGTCCTTTGTCTTTTTTGTTAGGTGTTCAATGAAAATGGAAAAGATAATTTTGGAAACCTATATTCAGTCTTGTTTTGACACTATTACTTATGATACCTAAGAGAACTAAGGCTCAGAGACATTAGTGATTTACACAGTGTTACACAGCTACTATTTCACCCCATGTTTCTGTTTCCATAATTGTGTTTTGCATTCAACTACTATAAATAGGTCTTTGATATATTAAAATTTTAAAGTTTGCCAGGCTCCTCTGGCTTTCACTTGCAATCCCTTTTTCACAAGGCTAAGAGGTAGAGGATGGTGGCTTGAGTCCAACCAGAGCAGAAAAGTCTGCTAGACTCCATCTCCATACTAACTAGCAAAAACCACCTGGAGATGTGGTTCAAGTGACCGAGCTTAATCTGATCAAGTAAAGGACCCTAAATTCAACCTCCCCCCGCCCCCCAGTACTAACTCCTAAGTCCACATTGGAAACAACACAGAAACCTAATTTTCCATTTACCTTTTACTGTTAAGTGGACACATATACCTTTTTCTTAACTAAGAATTTTTCCTTAAGGAAAAATCTCTACTTCCACCTGCTAGCTTTTTAATCTTTGTTATACTGAACTACTAAGAATGCTGTAAACCCCTGCTGTGTGCTAGTGCCTGATAACCTATAATCCTATTTATTTGGGAGACAAAGAATGTGAGGATTGTGATTCAATACTAGCAAGGGCAGAAAAGCTTGTGAGATTCCTTCTGAACCAATATCTGGTCATAATGGTATGCCCCTGTTGTCCATCCCAAGCTACATGGGAGGCTGAGATGTAAAGGTAGAGGTTCTGGGCCAGCCCCGGCAGAGAAAGTGAGGCTTCATCTGCAATGAGGAAAGCTGGATGTGTTGATGGATACCTGTGAGCCCAGAAACTATGGGATGCACAGGCACACTTGAGTATCCTGTCCAAAAATAACTAGCAAAAAACGGGGCTAGAGGCATGGCTCAAGTGATAGAGCCTCAGGTGCGAGGCCCTGTGTTCAGTTGCAGTACTCTTTTTTAAACAATTGAAAAGACAGGGGCTGGGAAGGTGGCTCAGTGGTAGAGTGTTTGCCTTGCATGCCAGAGGCCCTGAGTTCGATTCCTCAGCACCACATAAGCAAAAAGAAAAAAGCCGGAAGTGGCGCTATGGCTCAAGTGGTAGAGTGCTAGCCTTGAGCTGAAGAGTTGAGGAACAGCGCCCAGGCCCAGAGTTCAGACCCACAGCCGGACCCCCCCCCCCAAAAAAAATGGTATTTGGTAAAAAATTGAAAAGACAGTTTTGTTTGTTTAAATTTTGTTGTTAATGAAGCATATTACTTTTAAGTATTTGTTAGAAGCTTGAGCATTGTGATACGAATTCAATGTGATAATAAACTAAATTTAGTTCTAAAGTTTAGAATATAAGACTAATACTGCATGCTCTCTTTTTGATCTTGATAAAAAAAAATATACTAGTATTGAACAAGTAGAATTCACAAAGTAAATTCAGTGAGCTTTAACCTTGGAAGGGGCGTGCTTAAGAAGGTTGCCTTTTCAGTGCCACCTGTGGCAGTTTGCCATCCTAGCCTTAATATGATTTTGGCAGTTCTGTAACTTGTGGCAAACAAAGAGAGACTTCTGGTATGCTGATTTTCTTTTAGGAAAACCTTTGTCTTTAGGTATTATCTATCACTACCAGGACAGGGCCTGAGGAATGGGGCCTGGAGAATATTTATGTCTTTGACCTTTCCAGTTCTGAGCCTTGTACTTGCCTGCCCTGACCCTCCTTCCTTCCTTCTCATAGCCACTTTTGCATGCTGGTTGCTACAGTAACCCTGGTTGATTGCAGGGTTTTGCTGTTTGATGCCATCGTGGTGCCCACAGTGTTAGGTCCTTAGAATTTCAGGATATCATGAAAAAGAGCTCAGACAAATATCGCATTTCTGAGCCATTTTAAATTAAGGAGCTGGAGTTGATTAACAGTTGATGATACCAAAGGAAGAGGGAAGTGCCTTTTTCCAATATTTTCAGTCTTAAGTAGTTCCACATTCCAAGTGAAAAGTTCTAAGTAATTTTATTTTTGAAATAGAAGTTTTTCAAGTATATTTAAAGTTTATCTTTTGGAGTCCATGTATTGTGTTTCATAGAAACGTCAGGTGTTAGAAACTTTTTTTTCCCAATTTTGAGTACTGAACTAAGTGAACCTGATACTTTTTTTGTTCATCTTAAGTACTTTTATTTTCATAAGAATCTACTACTGTTTCAAGTTTTTAGTAGTGCTGAATCAATGGTCTTAGCCAAGTGTACTATTGCAATCTAGTGTTAAGAACAAAGGCTAGGGCTGGGAAGTTGGCTAAGTGGTAGAGCGCTTGCCTTGTATGCATGAGGCCCTGGGTTCAATTCCTCAGCACCACATAAGCAAAAAGAAAAAAGCCAGAAGTGGCACTGTGGCTCAAGTGGTAGAGCACTGCCTTGAGCTGAAGAGCTAAAGGACAGCGCTCAGGCTCAGAGTTCAGGCCCCATGACCAGACCAAAAAAAAAAAAAAGAACAAAGGCTATAGTCAGGTAGAGCGTAGCCACAGGCAGGGGAATTGAGTATGAGGCCAGCCTTGATAGGTATCTCTCTCTCTCTCTCTCTCTCTCTCTCTAACACACAAACACATCCATCCATATATGATAAATATATATGAATAAGTGCTATAGACAGCTCATTAATACTTCTTATACAGAATAGGTTTACTAGTAATTAGATTCATGTGTATGTGTAAAAGTCATCTAAACTGTTTATAAATGCATTAATTTGTGATGTTACTGCCATGAAATAATTTTTTGTAGGGTATTACAGTCTGTATTTTGATTGCTTAAATATTAGGTGCCATGAGTATTTTCTTGCCATTTAAGTTAGGGAAGAAAGATAGCACTAGATGGAACATATTGTTTCTAGTTGGTGTTAACCTAGTTCTTACTGTCTTGATTATTTGTACTGTGTGTTTTTTGTACATTTAATGAATTGTATCTTTTAATAAAGATGAATACATAGATCAATCAGATTCTGTTTGGTAATCATAGCCTTTGTACATCTCTAGAGTGTGACTGGCACAGATGTAGCATTAAGTAAAGGTGAAGAAAAACATCATGTTACATAATTTTTTATGACTTACTATATCTGCTATTTTTGGCTTTTCTCAATGGTAATTGCTAATGTCATTTTTTTTCATGGGATAGTCGATTAAGTGATGTTCTAAAGAGAAAACGACTGCCAAAACGAGGGCCACGAAGGCCAAAGTACTCACCTCCAAGAGATGATGACAAAGTAGACAATCAAGGTATGTTCTTAGATGAAACCTGGGCACATGGTGGGGGGGAAAATGGTAGCATACGTTGTCAGAGGAAGTGTTCTTAACTCTTGCAGCTAAAGTTATTTTAAATTTAATATTCTCTCTCCCTCTCCTCCTCTCCCCCTGTCTCCCTCTTCCTCTCCCCTCTCTTCCCCTCCCTCCCTCCCTCTTTTTCTCTTTTTCTCTCTTTCTCAGGGCCTGGGTGCTGTCCCTGAGTTCTTGTGCTCAAGGCTAGCACTCTACCACTTTCAGCCACTTGCGGTTTTCTTAGGGTTAATTGGAACTAATAGTCTCAGAGACTTTCCTGCCTGGGCTGGCTTCAAACTGTTATCCTTCAATCTCAGCCTCCTGAGTAGCTGTGATTATAGACGTGCGCCACCAGTGGCTGATTTTCATTTCTTTATAGCTTGCTTGCTTGCTTTTTTTTTTTTTTAAATCAGTACTAAGCCATTTCATCTGTAGTAAGCCAATTTAACTACAGTTCTTTTTTCTTTTAACAGCTAAAAGCCCCACTACCACTCAGTCACCTAAATCTTCCTTCCTGGCCAGCTTGAATCCAAAAACATGGGGAAGGTTAAGCGCACAGTCCAATAGCAACAACATTGAGCCAGCACGAACTGCAGGAGTTAGTGGTCTTGCCAGGGCTGCCTCAAAGGACACTCTATCCAATAACAGGTAAAGTTGGGGGAAAGGAAGAGGTGAAGAATTCTCTATTGCTTCTATTTGAATCAGAAAATCTTAACATTATTTAGCATATTTAGAAGTGATACATGAAAATAGAACTTCACAGAAATGGCATAGCTCAAGATTCTTAATTCATGAATCCTTTGTCCTAAGTTCCAGTTTTATATTCTGACATAAAAACATCATTGAAGCTATAATACATGTTCAAAACCAAATTTTGTTCTCTGTGGAACCTTTCAGTTGTATTCCAGACAAAGAGAAGTTACCATTTTCTCTGTTTTAGTGGAGAGGACTTTTTGGTTGTTGTTTGTTTGCTTTTAAGAACCTGGAACTCTTATCAGCCATAAACTCCTTCATACCAACTATGGATTTAAAAGCACTGAAAAAAAAAAAAACTTGGTGTGTGTGGGGGGGGGAGAAACCTCTGTAAGATACAACTATAGATTATCATCTTCCCAAATTAAAAAAAAAGGAAGGTGGCTTAGTGGTAGAGTGCTTGCCTTGCATGCATGAGGCCCTGGGTTCAATTCCTCAGCATCACATAATCAGAAAAGGCTAGAAGTGGTTCTGTGGCTCAAGTGGTAGAGCACTAGCCTTGAGTTGAAGAGCTTAGGGACAGGGCCCAGGCCCAGAGTTCAGGCCCCACAACTGACCTCCCCACCACCACCACCAAAAAAAAAAAATTATGATTCCGATGCCACTGGGAAAATAATTTGTTTGACTGAGTTGATGGCTGTATTTCTGAAGTTTGGCAGAAGCTTTCAATGTTTGTAATTTAATCATCCAGTTCTCATTTGTCAGAGCATATTGTGTACCTAAAGAGGTACATATTTCTGGTCTATAACTTAAGCTATCCAAGGACATTACAAATAATATTTGAACTTTAATAAATCAGGTGAAATTGAATTTGGGTGTGAACACTAAGATTTTTCATTATAGGATTGTCCATAATTAGAACATCTTGTTTACTGTCCATGTAATGGCCCAAATGATTTGGTACATTGTAGCCCATTTTCAAAGTGACCTTTGAATTTATTATTCTACAAGCATAGGCTAGAAAGAATTTTCTTTTGATCAAAAGTTGAAATTTTTTCTCTGTGCACAAAATAAGACTTTAATATCTCTTTTTCTTTCTTGAAGAGAAAAAATTAAAGGTTGGATTAAGGAGCAGGCACATAAATTTGTAGAGCGCTATTTTAGTTCTGAGAATATGGATGGAAGCAATCCTGCACTGAATGTCCTTCAGAGACTTTGTGCTGCAACTGAACAACTCAACCTCCAGGTATGGTGTCTGCTGCATCTTTCTTGCCCTTTTCAGTCTCTGAAAATGTTTTCTAGCTTTCTATGGGTTTAGCTAACCTAGATAACTTTTTTCTTTTTTAATCAGACATTGATCGTTGACTGTCATAGTTCATCATTTTATTAAATGTACTAGAAATCTCATCTTTGACTTTTTTCCTTCTCTTCCCATTACCTGATAATTATGCATAGATTTCAGAAATGTCCCTTGAGCACATCTCTCTTCAAAGTTCTTTTCAGGTACAGATAAGAGTTGATGGGCCTCTCTACCTCTTGTATATACACTCAGGGTCACATGGTAGTTAGTGGCAGGAGATTTATCATCCTTTTATATTCATCTAAACTATCATGGTATTTTTATTTATGTATTTTTGAAGTTGCTTTGTAATTCTGGCTTATTTTTCCCAAGGAAGTGTCCAGTTCATTAGATTTTAAATAAGCTGCACCTTATGTGTCTGTTGGTTCTTTTCATTCTGACATTAGAATCCAGTATTATTTTTTAAAATGTTAGTTTGAATATTTTTCATCATGAAATATTTATAATTCTCTATATAAGGCCCTTGTACTAAGAATGAAACTGTTCCTTATCTACCTTTTTATAAAAAGGTTCAGAATATATTTAATTCCTTTTGGGGAGATACAAATTATACATTTTATTATTGTTTAAATCAATATAGAAATCCTATTCCTGTTTATTTCAGGTGGATGGTGGAGCTGAGTGCCTTGTAGAAATCCGTAGCATAGTCTCAGAATCAGATGTTTCATCATTTGAAATCCAGCATAGTGGATTTGTGAAGCAGCTGTTGCTTTATTTGACATCTAAAAGTGAAAAGGATGCCGTAAGCAGAGAGATCAGATTAAAGCGATTTCTTCATGTATTTTTTTCTTCTCCTGTAAGTTATCTAATAATACTTGTATTTCTTAATCTAACAATCTTGTGTTCTGATGCCAGTAATAATTTGTAGTACGTGTTGATCAAGATACTGTGTGTTGCTTATCCACATTTTGTGCATAAAGCACTGTCTAATAGTTTTCAAGAGTATTTTATTGCCATTTATAGTAAGTATTTCAAGCCAATATCAAAGATCAACTCCCCTTCCTTCATCCTCAGTGGTAAGAACAAGAGCATAACTACTCTGATTTAACTCATATTTTCTCATTTGACTGTTTTAGAGCTAGCCAGGAAGTTTCTCTTTGGATTAAGAATTACTCTCCTGTCAATTAGCAAATCTATGTAACCCTGTTCATGGTAGATTCAAAGGCATTTTTGAGCACTGCTTATAGTCTACTTCTTCACTTGCAGGGGTATCTAAAACAGTTGTTAATCTATTGGAGATTTAATATATGTGTTTCAATGTTGGGATATAGTTTTATACCATGCTTGAGATTATGGTTAAATGTGTAGTCTCTTATCTGAAACTCCTGGGGGAACTGTGGATATGGTGTAAAAGCACCATCCTAGAATGCCCACATCTCCCCTTCCCCGCTGCCCCCCCCCCCCCAATAACTGGTATGGTTTATCCCCTGAGGATGAATGGCTTTCCAGAGTTCTATAGTGCAATACATTAATAATCTATAATTTATTTGGAAACTTTGTCCCAACCAAGACTGGTTGGTCATTAAGGATAAAAATGAAGAGTTGAATACTGTAAAACTGCTTTCTCAATTTTTTTGTCAAGATGTGTTTCAATTTTTAAAAGGCTTGCTTAACCTGCTTAACCTGCCGGTTTACTTATAACTTAGCTTCCAGGAGAAGAGCCTATTGGACGAGTAGAACCAATGGGTAATGCACCTTTATTGGCATTAGTTCACAAGATGAACAACTGCCTGAGCCAAATGGAACAGTTTCCAGTCAAAGTGCATGATTTCCCCAGTGGAAATGGGACAGGAGGAAGGTAAGGACCACTGCCTGGGTACACCCTTGCCCCTGGAATTTAGTATTTACTTATATTAAGATAAAGTAAAAAGAAGCAAAAGGTCTGGCAAAGTCTTTGTCTGAAAAAAAACATTACTTAATATCATACCACATGTCTTAAACATGAGGTTTTAAAGTATGTAAACAGTGATACTTGAGAACTATAATAATAAACTTAGTTAATTTTCCATTTAAAAAAAAATTAAACTAATATCCTTTACCATTTTTCCCCAAAAAATTGTGAGTATGGCAATAAAATTTTTGTATTCTCTAATATGTGATACTGGCTTTGACCTTGTATTTAAGAGTTCATTTTGAGGTTTCAATATAAACTTCTGCTTGTTCTATAATATGATTTTAAAGACCAGTGGAACATTATAGAAATAATTATTAAATTTATTTTGGGGTATGGAAGTATTCTTGCAATTAGAAGTCTAGAAAGTGATAATTTGTTTTAAAATCCAAATGCATGTGCACATTTAATTTTAAAGCACCAAAAAATTTGGTTGAATAAAAACAGCATCTGTTTTTTTTTTTTTTTTTTTTGGATCCGGTCATGGGGCCTGAACTCTGGGCCTTGGCGCTGTCCCTCAGCTCTTCAGCTCAAGGCTAGCGCTCTACC